CATTTTAATGCACTGAGTAGATTCTGAGGGACTAGTGTTATCCCTTTCTGTTCCAAATGCTGTTTTGAAAATCCTTAATTTCTGTAATGTAAACATTGACCATAGATCACTTTTTTAAAAGCTTAGGGCACCCAGCAAAATATTTATCCAGTTAAGCGTTTTATAACTTACTGATACAGCTTTTTTTCACCTTTTGCCCTTTCTCTGTCACCATGCTAAGTCAATTCACTCTTTTGATCATATATCTTTATTTAGACTTTAAACTAAGTGAGCAAAGACAATGTGCTAGTTTTATCAATCCACTCCAGCTGTGGGTAACAGTAACATTTGGTCTATTGTCTTTTACTGGCTGTAAAGCACTATGTTCAGTGTTTAATAACATACTCACTGATAAATAACATTCTTCAGTCAAAAAAAGAAACTACGGAAGAAGTACACATGATTTTTCACAACACATTTAGTCTTTCATTCTGGTGCAGTTATATTTCAACATGCTTTTAAAGTAGTTCTGTAATCACAAGAACAGGAGGTTCCATTTCTGCAGCTGCTGGATGCGTTCATTGCTTTGTTGCTTTCACGAGTCACAAATAAAGGTAAAGGTGTCACTGTTGACAGTGAATTTTTGGTGTGTTCACAATTTTTGGTAGTTTCTTAATAACCTTAAGACAGGGATTCCACAGTTGCAAATGTAGGCATAATTGTTGGGTCTGTTGCTATCATAGAGGGCAGTAAGTTGTGGCCAGAGTCTGTTTTGGCTCTTGTTGAGCTTAAAGAACACCCAGTACAACAGAGCCCATCCCTCAACAAAGCCCTCCGGGAGCACTGGGGTGTTTCTTATATCTCTGAATTCATTCTGTGGAAAGGCATTCCACGTTCTTAATTTTTTTTCACAGTTTAATAGGATTAGACATATGGTTCTCACTGCTTTTAATGGATGTTTGCATGTTTCATACCTGTGCAACTCTAGAAATGAAGTGATACGTTCCTTTAAAGTTTAATCATATCCTATTTTTTCTCTCTCAGAAAATACCCTTAAAAGTATTTAAGCTGATAACTTTATACTAGTGGGGAGGAACTCTGACCTTATCTACTTTACAGCAATGACCATGTATGATTGGCCTCTAACCTGGTTACAAAATGATAAAATGATGTTGTGAAACCACTATTCATTTCCTAATAGTGTCTCTGAAACCAGCTTAAACTCTAAGAGGTTTGCTAGTGCATTTTCTCTCTTACAGTTGTAGTGTACAGGATACAGGGTATTTACACTACTGTAATTTTCTTACACTAAAATAAACTGAGTTTCTGTTGTTAACTAATATTTATAATGATGGCTAATTAAGGATTTTGAATGAATGAATAAATGAATGAATGATGGATAGATTTGCTATTTTTTGCTACATATGCATGTTGTCACTACTAGAGCAATGTATGGCATTTTTTACAATAGGCTTAAATATCCTGCATCAGCGGGCTTGAAACCTGGATCTGTATCATTGAGATATTCTTTGTACAGTCAAATTTAACACTGGAAACTCTCAAGCTGCATAATACTAACCTACCATTTACTAAGTTTGCATTCATCTTATTTGAAGTGCTTACATTGAACACTCCCTCTCTGTCTAGTCCATGAGTAGAACAAATAATTTCAAGGATGTTGCTTTATTGCTTGCACATTGAAATGATCCCATGAAGTGCAATTTCTGTTTAGGAGCACATGAAAAGAAGTTGGCCCAGTAGCTGATCTGGGTTATTTAGTCAGAGTTTACAGTAATGAGTCAATCTGAGGCATATACATCTGCTCAATCAAATACAGACCATGCTGCATTTTCTTTGAGTCACTCATTTGACAAATGTGATGACTCACAACTGTGACCAGTACAATGCCAGTCTGACTGATATCCCTTTAATACGAGACTCCTTTGGCCTCCACTGTATTTTCTTCTGTTCTTATACTCATGTCTAACAGAAGACCTTAAAAGCTAAGGCAAAGACGTTAACTATCCAGGTACTCTTCGGATGGTAGATCCCAGGTAAGAGCAGAACTGGAAGCAGAGAGTAGCTGTCTCCCCACTTGACAACACATGAGTGAGTCATGGTGTGTACAGGTGGAACAGCCCCACCAAGATGCTTCTGCTCATGCTCAGATCACTTCAGCCAAGGTAGACGAGGGCTGGAATAAACTGGTTGCTTGCTCTGCATACAAAGCAAGCTTCAGTTTTGATTTCACATTTTCACAAGATGCTCCAAGCCTGCTGAGTCTTACATCTGGAGGGGAACCAACCATACTAGATCAGAGCCACAGAATGTTGTCCTTATGGGAATGCTATACTCCAGGGAAATCCTCTGAAAGGAGAGCTCCTCAGGCTCAAGCACAAATGATCATTCTCCCTTCTCCCTCGGACCCAGGGATAGACATGTTTTAGGTGGACACCACTGTTCACAATACCCATGCTAGGGCCTCACACCCAAGAGAAAGTGAGATACAGAATTTCTACATTTCTTAAAAGTCAGGCACTTGTAAATATGTCTGTTTTATATAAAGCATGCATGTAGAGAAAACTAAAGGAAACAAACTACAAAGGTAGTAAATCCAGTGCATATTTTAGTCTTGCTCTCTTTGGAAGACTTAGGAAAGCTGGAAAGTTATTTGGATTGTTAGCATACAGTTGCTAAGCATTCATAACAAGAAGGAAAATGTAAACCTTTTTGTTACCAGTACCAGTTTAGTGCACAATTGATAGAATGGAATTGCTAGTTTCAGAAACTTATGAATTCAGAACCAACAATTATTTCAGTTGTAATTCCACTCATCCAAGAAATTCTTAGAGTAAAAAGCAAAGGCAAGGTCAATCCTAAGACTACCTTCACACATGGAACTTATAGACTACTGTGGACACAGATACAAAGTTGCAAAAATGCTTATATCCACATAGTTTATTGTTCTATAGGAACACTTTCTATGATTCAGTGTATCATTATATATCTTTAAATGTACCCATGTTAAAGGTTGAATTGGCATAAATATCTCAGCCTAAAGTACATTTTAAAAGTTTGCATCCTTGTTATGATTACAGGATGCTGTAAAACATTGCATGTAAACCCAGATTTACAAAGATGTGAGCACTTAAACCAGTGTATCAACCACTGTGTTGTCCCCAGAAGTCAGAAAGTTACTTTCAAGTGAAAGCTTCCTTTTGTGCAAAAATAAAGAGTCATCTATAGGTCTGCCTAGTCCTTATTGGATGCAATGGATAAGACCTCTCGTTAAAAATAGCTTTCAGTTATACTCTGTACCACTGACTCATTTGAGGTAAAGTGAAATAAATGCAGCTGATAATGAGAAAAAGAAGAAAATGTGCAAGGTATTTCCTTTACACCTTATCCCCATAAATATCCCCACTAAAGTCAGTACCAAGAAGAAAAGTTTCAAAGGTCATATCGAGTTCAAAAATGCCCATGCCTTCCCATTATTTCCCTTAATTGCCTTGATTTTTATTTTCTAATGTGTGTGAGTGGATGTGTTGTGCCTCTGTGACAAAAGAGAAGTTCAGTGAGAGAATTTCCTGCTTCATAGATAGGTCTTTAACCATGCAAGGCATATGCATGACCTCAATTCTCCATTTCTTGCATGTTGTGCAACTGAGAGTTTAGCAGCAAAAGGAGTTACAACCTCAGCATTATCTAATACTTGTGCATATTGCATGTGCACATGCTTGGATAATGTTTAGCAGCTGACACAAGTTGAAATAAAACACTTCCTCCCCCCCCCCCCCCCCCCCCTGTCAAAAAATCAGGAGGAGGAAAGGGAAAGGTATGCCAGGAAACACAGCTCATGTTTGTGCTGATGGTGGGGTTCTCAATGATTTCCACCACAGCCCATCTCTGAGTTCAACACATACGTATTCTTCTTAATGTTCGTGTAAAACCTGGTTACAAAAAGTGGTGACTTTCCAAACAGCTTTGCAGAACCAAATAGAAGAAGTGCTCTTTGTCTGGCAACACTCAGTCCAAATGTGTAAATGAGGAAATGCTGCCAGAGGAGTTTTATTCGTGGCCATTAATTTGTTTCTGTTAGACTGACATTGCCACCCTGGTGGGCACCACCTCGCAGGCCACCTCGCTGGCCTGTCAATGGGATTTGGATGGAATTGGCACTAACAGTGGGATCTGGAAGAAAAACACTTTTTCTATACATTTTGTGTCTAAAACACGAGCAGCTTGGTGATGGGGGTCTCTAGTGGGCCATGACATCCATGTGGGGGACTATAGTGGGGAAAGACCCTCACAGCTGCCCATTAAAGTTGGCCTTGTCACAGGTGGAGCGTCCAGAGGGGATAGTTAAAGCTTAACCAGAGTGGGCTGAGGAGTAGGGACAGCCCTCGCAGCTCACCTGAGCATCCTGCTGGGGTGTGCAGGTGCTGGCAGCTGCCATTGTGCAGGCCTGCTTCCTCAGGAGGCAGGCTCGGCGCTGCGGCTGCCACGGGAAGTCCGTCACCTCGGCCTCCTCCGCACGCCTGGCTGGCAGGTCTCCGAACGGTGGGTCGGGAGCCTGGGCAGCGCTGGGGCTGCTGCTGGCCCCCACACAGCACTCGTGCACCACCAGCACACCATGGAGCAGGTCACCACCTGCTCCGGCAAGGCCCACTGCCCTCCCCACCTTGTAGGCCTTTGCCAAATGGGGTAGGAAGTGTCTCTTGGCTCCAAGCCAGGGAAAAAGCTTTGAAGCCTGTGGGTTATGGGCGCTGGGTTTGGCCACCCCTTTAGCTGACAGTGTAAGAAACAGCACTCGGTTCAGCACTGTAAGCTCTGCTGTTCCTCCCGCGCCAGCCGGATCACGTCCAGTGCTAGCATCGGTGCGTGGTATATATAAAACCTCACGGAAATTAAGAGGTCCTTCTGCTGAGAGTCATAAAATGTAATCAGTTCCAGTGGGGGTCAAACAACAAAATGCTCCTGGGAATAATTTGGACTTTGTTTCTTCAGTTAAACCAGAATGAATCTACTAGTGATTCATATTTCAATGGTGTATAGACCTTGTGCATGTGACCATCCTTTGTTCTAAAATTAAGTCTGTCCCTTCTCTGTCTTTATTTTGTAAACTATCAGTTCATAAGGATTTAGGGAAAGATAAAAGCTCCTGTAAATTATTATGGTTTCACAGTGCTAAGGAATGCAGAACAGAACTTTCCTGGTCTTTTTTTTTTTAACACATTCTACTCCTAAATCCTACACTTAGATGTATTGTAAGCTTTGCATGCAGACCAGACCATGAACTAGTTTAACTAGAGTTATTTTGGCATCAATTTAGTGGCTGTGCTGTGAAACTGTCAGGTGGACACATTGAGAAACAAGGTGTAAACACTACATTAGCACATTAACACAGAGTTTTAAAGGTATTTAGTTAAGTAGGAGTAGAAAGGGGTCTAGATGAGCCAGCAAAAGCTTTGTGCATAGACTAGTTTTTCCTTTTGTCTGGATTTTGCTTGTATAGGAACTTTGCTTAATTCTGTATCAGATGACTGGTGTAAGTATATGCTTGTCCCAGCAAAGGCAGATTTACCTTGAAGTGTCTGAAATAAGTGTCCTAGTATGCTTCCCTCCTACAGTAGTAGTAAAGATAAAAATCCAGCTCTCTGTCAGCTGACTTACACACTGTTTCCTAGCTGACTTACATGGTATTTCTTTTACACTTAAGTGTAATATATTAATTCCTTTGACAATCAATAACTATGTATTTCAAGAAATAATTACTTTCCCCTAGATGGGTATGTTCTAAAGCCTTTGCAAAATATCTACAAGGGAAAAAGCTCGTTAGTGTGTTTGAACTTCTAAAGAAATTGAATGAAGAGTCCACAATAAGATGAAAACGTATACAGAAGGATAGAATGTTACCCACGTAAGTTCAATCATACTTGTGTTCATTATGAAACCTGATTATTTTTTCCTAATAAAAATAATATGGATAAGTAAGATCTGCAATTTTTCTCAAGGAATATGTGCAGAATCTTTAAAGATTCAGTGGTGCTTAGTATGTCAAAATGCTGGAGCAGCTGTAAGATCAGAACCCAAAGGCAAACAAGCAAGGATGCAGCATCCAGGAAGGTGATTAAGGCGAAATAAAAGGTGTTTATGGGTTTCATTGTAGTTGCTATTTAAATAATCCTATCTGAACTTCACCACTCTACAAAAAAAAATAATCAAGTCTTGCAGGTTACTTGTACTTATGCAACTGGAAAACAGAATCTATCAGTTGAGCCAGGTCCTTGGCACTACTCCAATAGTTCAAAACAAGTCTACAGCCAGCTTAACTGCCCCAGCCATAAGTATTTTCACTTCTCCAGAAACAGCTCTGCCAGGCATAGGCCTGCTGAGACAGTGTACACTTCCCTACTTCTGAACTCTGACTCCCAGATCATAGACAAAGAAACAAAAGGTATGGGAAGCATAGATATGCTCAGCAGTGCATCTCTGCCTCCAGAATGCTGCCCCTGGGCTAGGAACTGTTGATTAATTCTTTAAACAACAAAACAAACTCAAAGATAATTAAACCAAAAGTTTGTCGTATCTTTCTTTCTTCCCCTATCTTTTTATTTTTATTTTATTTTATTTTATTTTATTTTATTTTATTTTATTTTATTTTATTTTATTTTATTTTATTTTATTTTATTTTATTTTATTTTATTTTATTTTATTTTATTTTATTTCTTCATCTTTGGAGATAGGATAGAATAAGCATTGAGAAACTGTTTAATGTCAGATGATGGGGTTTGGGCATGTTTGCTTTTCCTTGGTCTTCAGTGAATCATCCAAGGTATCATTTAAGAATTCCTGTTGCTTGTTTTACACAAACATGCTCTCAAGCTTCTATCTGATGAGGAAGTAATGACAATTTGTGGAGTAATAAAAAGGAGTCAATATTTTACAATGTTGAAAACTGTTAATAATCAACATCAAAAGTTTTAATCTGTTGGAAATCATCTACTTGATTTATACATCTGACTGCTCTACTGTCTCTTCTTTCAGGCTAACTGGAGTCTGCTCTGAGCTATGTGTCTTTGAATGGTGGTTACTCTGGAAACACGGAGGTAGCAGCTCTCCAAAGCAAGGGGTTGAACCATTGCTGAAGGCCTGAGCGAGAAGTAGTCCAGACAGTACGTGTGATTTTCCCAGGTTGATGTGAATGAATTTAAGAGCAAAAACACTGCCTCTAGGAGCAAAAAAAAAAACACCAGCCCCAAAACAAAACAGAACAAAAACTTCAACCCTCTGTCTTAGCAGTTGCCTAGGGCAAGGGGATGGAAATTTTGGTTTTGTGTTCTTGTTGCCTAGAGTGATGTACAACCTTTGCCCTTTTATAACTAGCAACAAATCCTGGGGCTGACTGGGTATTACACTATGTGAGAAGGAAGAAGAAAGAAAAGAAAGTAATTTCAGGCACCAAATGGACCTGAGGACCAAGCACAGGTTTTGAGAAGAAGAAATTTCTTGCCATCTGTTTATTTAAAATGACATGAAATGAAGGGATAGAGTTCATACTGCCCTATTATCCTCCTGATAGACATATTAATTCAAACTTTCCAATAATAACTTCTTATGCCAGGAAGAAAACGTTGTTTTCTTTTATGACAATCAGATGTTTAGTGGGAGGAATACTCAATGTGCATCTAAGAGATAGGTGATTCCAGTTATGAGAAAAAGAGAACTTCACACCCTCAAACTAAACCTGTTTGGTTGCCAGTACAGTAAGCAGCCTGAACAGTGCAGGGATAGGATTATAGTAATTTAAAGTGCAGTAAATAACACATAAAACCCCTTATCTAGAGACACCATAAACTTGTATGGCTCGCTTAGCGAAATTAAATGATGGCTAATGTTCTCCAGACTCAGACTTGTCTCTTTCTAGGTTTGACTGAGAAGGGAACAGATCAAGGACAGCTGAGAAAAATGCTGATTTCAACCTGTTTAAAGCTGCTTCACTGGTGTAAATGATCACATTCTATCCTCTTTTTCTGCAGGTGCATGAAACGCTGGGTCAAGGAAAGATTTTCACCCATATTCTGTTTCAGAAGGTTAGGTAGCAACAGGGATGAACACGTGACAACCAAAAAATTAAAAGGCGGCACAAGTATGTGTTTGAAATTCTCTTTTCATCATTTTAATATTCACCTTCTAATTTGCTCCATCTCCTTATCTCTTTATGTGAACCTTGTCTCAGGAAAAGGTAAGAAAAATGAATGCACCAGATGATTCAGATGACTTCCTATTCTGACACTTTGCAAAGAAAGTAGTGTATAGATGTTATCTGTACAAGGTGAACTTCACCTTGTCTTTCACCACCCGATTTCAAAAATAATAGATTTATAAGATTTCTGTTAATGTCACCCTTTTCAGCTTGGTTTTTGTTTTTCATTTTATCTCTGAACTTGTTACGGTTGCCTAGAACTTATAGTTCCAGAATAGTTTAGATCATGAGGAAAAATCAATTGTTAATGTTACTTTAACTGCATCCCTATCAATCAGAAACAAAGTTTGGCATTGAACTGTAATTTTCAGCTTTACAGCAGTAGTGTACATCAAAAGTTAGCTTGCTCTGATGTTATAAAAAGTTTTCATGGGAGAAAGAAGTCACAATTCCTTGGGATATTTATAGTATTTAAGAATGCTTTTAAGTCACTTGTAATGGCAGATGCCATTGGGTACTCTGTCATAACTGGTTTCCTTATTCATAACAAGTAATGCATATTGTAGTACATTTCAAACCAGGCCCACATTAAACTTTGTAGAAAAAATAAAGACCATGTCTGTATTACTGTATGAATTCCATTTGGATCTTGTTAATGCCATGTTGTGCTTTTTGTTTTGAATACAGACCTTAAGTGGGGTTTTTAGCTGTCAATTTGATTGTATGGATTTCATGATGGATATCACTGGATTATTTCCCAAGCTCCAACACAGGTATCAATGGCACATGCTAAATGGTGTCACCATTGGGTAGATAATGGGCTTGTTACAACAGAACTAACCTTTGAATGGCTTGGACAACAAGCCTGCAGAGTAAGAGCCCTGCTCTTAGAAGTGCTGGCTCGCTTCTCCCTTCCACATGCTACCTCCTCCTATCTCTACACAGCCTCTCCCCAGGAGTGCATTCTCTTCCCCCAGGGGATGTAGCTGTGGATTGCTGCCCCTGCAAACATTGAGAGGGCTACAGTGCATCCTGGCTTGGATTAAAAGAGCAAGAGGGATTTGGAGGACCGCTGGGAACTCAGAAGGGCTGGGATACCTCTTCTGGAATCTAAACAAGCTCCAGTCACTGGTCCAGAAGAATCCCAGTCATAGAGTTAACAGTTGTCAATGTGCTGGAAAGACAAAGTTAGAAATTACTAACCTGTGATAGGATCAATTCGCAACACCACAAATCTTCCTAGAACAGGATCAAGAAGCATTCTAACAAAAACTGCCAGATTTGGTAAGATTTTGACTTTTCATTCCAGCTCCTCCAGATTAGAAAGCCCTGCTCCCTTGGAAATGACAGTGGCTTTTCATACAGTATGGGTGAGGCTCCTAGCACTACTACAAGAGTTTTCACCGTCTTTCACACAACACAGTTCTGCCCTGTATGCATCAGTCCTTCTGGCTGTCTCCAGACTTACCTTTGCTTCTAGCCCTGATCCCTTCCAGCTTCTGCTCTTCACCATCCAGTCATAATAATCTCTTTAAATATGTATGCTCAGTGGCCAGCTTTTCTTTTAGAATGCCTGTGGTCATTGATTTTTCTAAATTACACTGTAATGGGCAAGTAACAAAAGTGATGAGTGATTTCATAGCTGTTGAAAAACTTCCAAGAAAATAAATTTGGAACTTCAGGGGCATGTAGATAGAACTAATTACAGTCATCATTAAATAGGTTAAAAAATAGGTCAGTCTTCTTTCATTTCTACTCTTTCCTCAGCCATTTAACATCACATGTGAGGATTTTAATTTTGTAAGTTACACAGCTCCCTTTATCAGATGTTCTCCACCATCTCATAAAAATCAAAGAGCTTGGACTGGAAGCTTCTCACATGTTGAGGCCTCTAGTCCAAACCCCATCTTAAGGACTGTTAGTATGATCCACACTGGGAGGATGTAGCTCTGCTGATTTCTGAGTGGGTTTTTCCCTTGTTTTTTAATTTTAATACATTTATGTAGAACTAAGCAGATAAGACTCTGTGTGGTGTGCCTCAACATGCCACTTGAGTCACTCTGGCTTCATCACAGCACTGAATTGACACCCGTCTTAGTTTACAGATCTACTTGTTGCTGCTGAGTCCTCCCTACCACAATCATTCCACAGCCTCGTAACTCAACAACCTGTCCTTTTTCCTGTCAACACAGCTTTCCTCTAAAGAATGCTGTTGACCAAACAAATACCTTCAAAGAGGATGAGACAGCTATTGCATGTGTAGCTTTTTTAAAAAGTCAGTCATCTACTGAGGTGACGAGAATTTGGGGAATTCTGTGTTATAAATACACGGATGTTTACAGTACATGTATGGCTTGCTTGTAGACAAAGTCAGCACCCAGGAGACTTCGGCATATAGATGGAAATATAAACATGTGATGTTTAGTTCTGTCCTAGTGAATCGTGTACCAGACACAGAGACTGGAGGTTCTGAGGATTATTTTTGAACAGTCAGGTGTTTGAATACCATTTTAAATGCTCTAGATGAAGCAAAGACTGGAAAAGGCAGATTCTGGTGGCAAAGGAACCCTTTATATTGCTGCTAGCCTACAGTTTCCACTTACTGCCTTTGATTATTCTTGAATTGTATATTTGGTATGGCTTATTCAGGTGTTTCTCAAGGACAATGAGTGTTTTGTTTCAGCAAAGTGTAAACGTTACCAAAAGAGTGACTCCTAGAAAGTAACAATTAAGTACAGAAATGTAGATTTCATTTACAGGAAACTATTTTTAAGATGTATCATCACTCAGAGAATAGACTTGGGTTGGTATAAGCTAATTATTAATGGCTTTCTGATGTTAGGCATGGTATAGATCTAAGTGTGATTAATTTAGCAGGAATCCTGCCACTCTTTGGTGACAATGACCTTGAGTCTTCAACTGAAAAATAGGAACACCTTAGCAAGAGAGTAGCTATTCTGAATAACTGAAGTAAAATACTAGAAAATTTCAGGATAAATGGAAAGAGCAGACCTCAGCATGAGTAATTAAGAAGAACTACAGTTGTCAAGATTTAATTTTTATGCAAAAACTGAGAAGCTTAAAAAATCCTTAATGTTACAGTTACCATTTTCCATCTTCTGACCACCTTATTTCTAGGTGATGGCATGATTAACTATGGAGGCAGCTCAAATTTCTTTTAATACTGCTTTATTGCTAGCAATGCTATCAGCCCTAAGAGAATCTCTAAACATAGTTTTCAGCCTATTACTACAGGAATAATTTGTTTCTCAACTGTTACTTTGAAACATATTGATTTTTCAGCCTACACATGTTTTTACTTGTTTGTGATCTTATCTTACTTAAATTTCAGAACCACACAATTCACTGCTAAGATAAAGAATGCAAAATTATTCACCCAGTTTGGCTGCAGACAAACAAATGGAACTCAACACAAACAAAGGGAGTTGTATCCAAGCATTATTTGCCTGAGTTCTTAATATTTCAATACTCTGTGGAAAAAGCAGGTTGGATAACAAGCTGTTTTGACTTCACTTCCAGTACACTTTCTGGTTTCTCTAGTCTCCAAAGCCAAGAATCCAGTCTAAAGATGCCACAAAGCTTCAGCATGCTAAAGGCAAGACAGTGCCGTGTTCTTTTTCAATCTTTGTTGCTACACTTTGGAATAAAATACAAGTTTTGCTGTAGTTTATAAAATAAAAGCAGTCTAAGATGTTACCTAAATCCTCTACACTTATTTCATATATGATTTATGCTTAGAGGAAAGCACGTTGAGCTGGAACTGGTTACATTTGCATTTTCTGCTGAAACAAGTTCTGAGCTTGAAGCTTGTCATTGGAAGCATCCTGCTTTGACAAATTTTTAGCAATCAGAGCTGAAGCCTGTCTCCCTAAAATGGGGCACCACACCCAGCAGGTCTGTGGTCTCCAAGCTGCTGGCAAATGGCATGTGCATAGAGCGTCCAGATCATGCATCTCAATAGCAGCTGACACAGCTTCCACAAAGAACAACTGTGATTTTTCTAGGAAAAACTCAAGCCTTGCAAGTGTCCATACTGACATGAGACTGTTGCTCCACTGTTATGTAGGGAATGGAACCAGCTTTGTAGAAAGCAGCCTCTTGACTGCTCTGAGATATTGAGCTGGCAGTTTGAAAGCCAACCTCCCGCAGCCCCAGAAACATCCTGAGAGCCTGCAAACCTATCTGTGGCCCTGTGTGGAACTGCACTTTCTAGCTAAGTAAAATCTTTTTGATTCATCAAGTCCATTTGTAGCAACTTGTTTGCATCACTACCAGAGAGGACACAATCTGACTTTTTGAACAGCTTTTGTTTGTCCCTAGCAGGCCTTGATACTCTTTGCCCATGTTATGCAAGGCTGCCCTATCCTACATGTGACAGAATTGTCTGGCAAGATCTACCACCACCTTTCTTGTTAGACAGGGCCACTCTTTCAGTGCCAACTGAATGGAAAGTGTTTGTCAATTTCTCTTTTCTTTTAGTTTCCTCTGCACAGATCTGGAGAGTTCCTGCCTACAAATACTGGCCTTTTGGGTACTTGGGAAACTACTGTCTTCTACTGGGATCATGTTTTCAAGTCATATTTTGCCGTGGAAACAGAGGGGTTATAAAGGACCTGAATTTAATTTTTCTGCATCAGCATCTCAGTCATCCATTTATTTGACCAGGTGGAAAACCTTCATCACAAAATAAAGGCTGCAGTCTACAGTGATGGTTTCAGAGAAAGCAGGATCCCAAAGCTGAAAGGATGACAGTGTAATCGAGATAAGCAATCTCTTCCAAATCAAAATAAGTAGTGTAGTGATAGCCACCAAATATGATATGCAAATTTTCAAGTGTTACTATAAAAACTTTTTCAGTCAATTCTGAATGTGTTTCAGACTGGTCTATGAATCAAAAAATATTTATTAAAACAGAGACTAAAATGTGTGACTGAATTCCAGACATCATAGAATGATTTTCAAGATGTTATTCAAAGCAATGGAATATGTATTTATAAGCAAGCTTAATCTTGACTGCATTTTGAATGAAAACATTTGGAAATTCATACTAATGCATTTTTTTATTATACTTTAATTTTTTGCAGTATTCAAAAAAAGCGACTGAAAATTAAAGACTGCAATCCTGCAAATATCACCATTAACTTTAATAAAACCACCAGCATGCTGTTAGGGACTGCTAAATACCAAGGATTAATATATGTAGATTTTCTTAAAAGTCTTTATGAACCAGTACAAAACTATGTCAGCATTAACAAAGAAATAATTCCAATTTTTCAAGATGCTATCGAAATTATCATGAATTTCTGAATATACACATCAATCAAAACAACCAGCCAAAAAAAATGAATGTTTTGGGAAAGACCAGACCTTTATTTGACAATATACTACACAGAAATGCTTAGAACTCCCTGAAATGGATGTAGAAGATTCACTGTGAACAGCTTGCTGTGCTTTTAAGAAGAGACAAAGAGAATTCCCAAAAAAATCACCATGTGTTTCACAGCCCCCAGAGAACACCGAAAAAAAGACTTTAGAAATGTTTGTCCAGAGAGAGTACATAGTTTCTATCAGCTTTAGTAAACCTTGTAATAAGTCTCATTGTATTATTTTAAAGATTATTTAAGAAACTTCATCTATAATAGAAGTTTACAGTACTGTTATTCCTGAGTAAGAATTACTAATTTCTTGGTGCTGATGATATACGTTTGTTAATTGGAGAATGGTGATCAGAGAGAATGCCAGAAATAATTTTTTTAATCTTGTGCTTTGCTTAGTCCTCTTTCCTCTTTTGGGTGAAAGATTAGTGGTAGCATTTCATTCTTTGTCCTCACTACTCCATGAAATTATTATTTTGTGTGTGATTATCTTTCAGTCCAGTTTGTACCTCACTCATGACACAAGGGTGGTAGGAACAGTCTGTCACAAGGCAAAGGGAAAAAAAGCTATAGAAGGACTATCTAAGTGAAAATGTTTGAAAGTCAAAGGGAGGGCATGTTTAACTTCACAAAAGAAAATGCTGGTTTCTGTTGCAATGTTGGTTACACAATCACATAAGGTTTTATTTTTAAAAGCAAGTAAAAAAATTATAGTGCATCAGCTTCTTGACTGATGTAAATCAAGATGGTTTTATTGACTTTGATGGAGCTATGTCGATTTATACCAGATGAGGATTTGGCCTACTGTATGGAGATATTTTTATTTCTCTTCTCACTCTATCAGTTAAGGAAAGGGTAATAATCAGCAAGCTGGAAGCAATTATGTGTGTGTGAGGAGGGGGTAGTTTCATAATAGCTAACTTGATATTATTTCCTGTAAAATGCATCAGGAGAATAAAGCCTGGAGCCTGCTGACCAGTTTGTTTTGTAAAGAAATATTTGTTCAAATCTGTTTATAATAATTTGTCAAATTATGGGCAAACTCATCTGAAGCACTTGCCTTCCACTGACACCAGAGGCAGCAGTTCTGGACCTGATCAGGCACCAAGTGACACCCATGGGGGAAGACCCAGGCAAAATTTGGCTTCCACATCTGTGTAAGTCTGGAATAATTCTACCAAAATCAGTGGAAACATTTTCTATTTACAAGTGTGCCTAAAAGCAAAATTTGGCACCATCTTCAACTGAGCATTTATAAGCTGTTTCTGGCAACAAATAAGGATGGGGGAGGGGGAGATTATTCATTGCAGATGCTTTGTAAGATTACTAGAGGCTTTCTGGTGACAATAAAGTCTACTAACATAGCCACTTCTGGAAAATGCTTTTGAAAATGTGATTTGAGGGAGTTTCCTGTTATCCTTTAATTCTTAGATCGTTTCATGGGGGTAAAAAATACTAACCAAGACCTCAAGTGAAATCACTTAAATTGTTCTCCTTACCATGGTGAGGCAAGATGAGTCCCAACCTGCAATACCAAGTGGACTAAAGCAATTCATGGGAAGCTAAGATTTCTAAGAAACTGTCTTGGATGAATGAATGCATTTCATAAGGTGCAGTTTAATTATTGTTAAGCAGCCACACATTGACAAGAGAGCTGAAGACAAAGTAATCACAATGAAAATAAATGGAAAGATTTATGAATTTATTTTTAAGTTACAATGCAGATTATTCTGAAGTACCAACATCAGCACTATAAACACTAAAGTATTCCTACCAGCTTTTGCAATATAGCTCATTCATCTGATCTCTTTGCTCTCAGGAATGATTTAATTTTTTGTAACGTTTTTATCATGTTTTAACTTAATAGTGTAAATAAAGTGACTTCCTGCCCTGCTAGGGTGAACACAGTTCTAGTAGGCTAACTGTGCTTTCAGCACTATAGCTTATACCCATATAGCCACCTCTTTCTGAACTGATCTATAGGTAAATGAATCCCAAAACCAGCATGTAGGTGAACCCTTAAGTAATAGCAGACAACTCATAAAAGAGTGGAAAATATGCAGTTCAAAAATTATTTTGCATAAATGCAGCTCTTGCCTGAACTAGGGAGAGCCCCAAGGAGCTGGGCAGCCCTTCCTCCCTGCACTGGCCCTCTCCAGCCCTCCCTGCTGTGTCTCCCTGGGAAAGGTCAGGTAGCCTATTAATCAAGCTCTGGACTTTGATTTGAAGTATGTATACGTCTACCACTTCCTGGATCCTTTTGAAGCAAGGAAGAGGCAGCAAATTTCCAGTGAAGGTTTGCTTATTTTGGGATTCTTTTTTTAATAGTTTAAATGCAACCACCTTAAAACCAAAATAAGATAAGGCATCGTTTCAGTTAGGACAGGTGATGACATTCTCACACTGAATTTAAATCCACCTTCCTGTAGTGAATATGTAACTTTACGTATAAAGTAATGCCTGGTTTATTCTGTGTGCTGCTACAATGCATCTTTCACCCATTTTCTTACTCAGCTTTTCAGCTATGCATGGAAATTCATGGGGTGTTTTTTCCTAGTAAGTTTCAAATTTATATGCTGTTCTACACTGAAAAAGACAAGTGTCAAGTGGCAAGGTCATTATCATTTTTTCTAGTGAGAACATAGAATAGAAAAATAAATGCACTAATGTAACCAGCAGCTACATTGACTGACTGAATTTCTATGATTACATCTGTGTACATAGGGGCATGTGTTATACATATAAAATAATTATTCTATTTTTTATAAATGCATGCACTCAATTGTTTTTACAATTTAATATATTGCACAAAATATAACTGCTTACAGACAGTATTCCTAGAATCAATACCACAAAATCAATTCACACTAAGAATAATTTAAAAGGATGAGAAAACTTTGATTATTTTTCTGCTTAGGTTTCAGATCTTTACAGAAAAAAAAAAAAAAGCTTAAAAGATCTCTTTCAAACATGGTGTATGCTGTAAAGATTATGTCCCAGCTAATTTTGACGTGGACAGAGGTTATGACTGAAGTCAGGAATACAGAGAAGATTAAATTCTAAACCATGACCCTATTTTCATAGAAACATATTAAGGAAACATACCATAGAATGACATACCTAAAACAAAGCATTTCTAAGTAAGGCATCTGTCAGATTTTTCCATGAGGTATAGGCAGTTTATGATGTACAGTGATGGTCAGATTGCTGCATTTTAGTATTGCTCAGCTTTCAGGGTAAGAGTGGTTCAAAGCCTGAAGATAAATTTCAGAGATAAGCTGAACAGTAGCCAGGAAAAAGGTTACTATCACAATAGTAATAGGTTTATATGTGTCAGCTAACTTGAGAAAAGACTGGAAGAGGTGATCATTAAATCAAGTGAAGCTGGAATGTATGAATGAATTTGAGTTTGGTGTTAAACTACACAGAGGGTCAGGTACTACACCAATCTCTAATCCTGTACATACTGGAGTTGGTGCTTAGCACAGCAGAATTCAGGCTGTAAGCACAAGTTCTCATGGGGAATATCTGTGGGATGCACTGCATCCCTGTTTTGTCCTGATCAGGGACCAAGATAATCCTCTCACTAGGCAGAACTGAAGTCTGCTGAGAGATCTCTAAAAGCCACCTCTTGGGGTCCTGCAGGAATCACTGCTCATCGGTGATTGAGGCTTTGTTCACTTGCTGTTACCCAGATGCAGGAGAGAACTGACCCAAGTACCAGCTGAACTCCCTAGCCAGGAAGGACTCGGGTAAAAAATGACAAAAGTACCAGATTTGCCTTTCAAGTGCTCTAGCCTTCTGAGAAGAAATATTAATCATATCTTTACTGTCTAAAATAGAGAAATAGAGTTCAGCTATTCTGAGGTATATTTGTAAGGTTCTGGAGGCCTTACAAAGTTTTTGGGGGGTTATTTTTTCATTGGTTAGTTGGGTTGATTTTTCTTTTTTTTTACTACACATGTAATTAACTGGTTTACCAGTTAGAAATAAATCTTTGCAAGCAAGAGGCATCTACCTTTTTTCAGTCATCATGTTCCCACAGGTATTATGAAGACTGGAAGAAATAGGGCTGGAAGGGATCTCTGAAGATCATCTATTCAAGCACAGGCTGAAATAGCAAAGATCAAATTGCTGGAATATTATCTATTTCTACTGTGCAGCCTGAATCTGACTCTACTACAAGGTTTTACAAAAAGAATTAGTGTGGGGCTTAAGAGTTCCTCGGGAAGAAATACAAACGGAAGTGTAAGTAACAGGATGACTTCTAAAATGCTGTTGCTCAGCTTGGCCTCCAATTGAGTATCAGTTTAGGATAATTTTTAATTAAAAATTTAATTTAATTTGATTAGTCTGGTTCATCCAGACTAACTGAAATTTAAGTAGCTAGTGTCAAGGCCCACAGAGCCCGAGACTAACTACAATCTAATTACTAGGCTGGAATTTTTTAATTACTACAGATAAGAGTATTGGGGAAAAACTGTCATGATTCAGAGTTCAGAAACCACATCCTCCCTATTTTCTGGCCATCCCACTCAGTCTCTGAGAGGGAGTGTTCAGAGTGGTATAAGTGAAGGCAGATAACCACATCCCCAATCTGCTGTCATCCTCAGACAGAATTTCTGATGATTATCATAACATATTGATAACTCTGCTTACCAAAGACAAGTGATGAAATGAAAGAAGGTTTAATTAACCTCACTTGTCAACAGGTGCCTTCACTATAATTACTCGTATTTGGCCTTTTGCCAACAGGCAAAATTTTGATTAGCTTTTTAGCAAAATTCTGCCATGTCTCTACTTAGAAAACTCAAGATGAGTCAGCTAAAATGGGTAAAATTTAAGACATCTTAAACTCTACATAGATCCTCTCATTCAAGAGCAAAGGGTCTGCAAAACTCTGACATATCTCCCCTTCCCGAGGTATCATAGTCACAAAATATTAATCTCTTTTTTCCCAGGTAGCAGAGCAGGATTCGGTATTTGTGAGGGATGTTCTCATTTACAGCTTGGTGTTTTTGCACAAGCCCACCATTATAACTGACTTAAGACAAAACCCAGCTCTGTGAACAGGAATGGATGAGGTGTATTACCCATCTTGTTCCACCCTGCAGGGAAGAGTAGCAAGTTGGTTATGCTAATGCACTGAGCTGCTTGGCTAGATTTGGCAGAAGTGCCTATCCAAGTTTTTGGTTCATTATGAGCAGATCCTACTAAGTAGCATCAAACTAAAGCCTCTTGATTTGTACTGGAAACCTCCATCTTGGGACTGAATGCATTTTAAAGGCCCTGACAGATGGGCTCTGCCAAACTGAACAGCAGCAATCTGTAATGCTTTACCTCCCCCATGTCTGCTGTGCTCTCTCCCAGTGCCGTCTGTCCCAGCAGCAGGGGAAACAGGAGCAGATGCTGATAAGGGCAATTTCGCTGCAGGGTCTGGCCTGTATGGTCTGAGACAGCAAGCCCCTGCTTTGGCCACTGCTAGTGCAAGGACTCTGGCAGTGAGGTGGGGAAATGGGCGGCAGACAATGTGTAACCATCACTGCTAAACCTGACAAGGCTCCACCAGGATGTCTCACACTTAGCTGATTTGCCAAAACCTGCTGCAGCTGCCTCGTGTGGCACCTTCTTCACATGCATAATAATTTGACCACAGTCAAAGTTTTTGCTTAAAGCAAAGAATAAGAGAGTGCTGCTACAGTGCAGGAGGAGAGCAGAATGTGTTTTAAAGTCCTTTCACAGCTTTGATCTAAAAGCTTTTGGGTTCCAGTTAAACCCATTTTGCCCTGCCAGCAGCAATCCTCACAGGAACACAAACAAGAACCCTGTCTCCTCCCTCTTGCAACACTCACACCCTTTGTGTCTGGGCTTACCTGCCAAATTTTGTGCATCTCTGTGTCTGGCACCTATGCAAATTAAGCAATCTGTATCTAATGTATATATTGTCATAAATATGGTTTCTGAAAAAAACACTGGTAGAGGTGGTTAAAAGTGTTAGGCTGAACCTTGGTTTTGCAGGGAGAGCTCCTTCAAAGACCAGGGTCTGAGTGTAGTGGAGATGGGAAAGAGCCTTCTTGATAGCCAGTCTGGAAAGCCTTTCTGTGAAAAACACAGGTAACAGGTGCACTCAGTGGTTCTTATGGGTCTCTTCCAGCTCAGGATCTTCTCTGGCCAATGAGCACAGCAGTGGAATACCAGAACTATAGAGGGCTGTACCCCATGGAAGGAAGAGTGTTAAACTGCTATCCCATGCTATGCATTCCTTAAGTGCTTCCAGTCTTCTGCTGGCTCCTTGCTCCCTCTTCCCCCAAATCCACCTCTTTCTCTTCACTGAATGCCCAGTGCCCTAAAACTGTCCTGGGAAGAGGAGCACACAGAGGAGAAAGGAAAGGCTGTCAGCTGTCAGCAGAAAGTCCATCAGCTGTGCATCACCCCAGCTCCCAGAGACAGATACATAGACTCCTTGCCTGGAGCAGTCTTCCCCTAATTCTTTTAGAACAAGCCATCCTGCTCCTGATTTCTCCTACTTTTCCTTCTTGCCTTGCTCCTTTCCCACCTCACAGGAAGACTGTTGGGAACCAGCAACCAGGCAAACCAGTTTGGGCAGAAAGAGATCCCAGTCCATTGACCTCTGTACTCCAACTTCCCTCACCAAGGGGTGAGGTAATAGGACAGCTCATGTACATTTCTGAAAACATTGTAGGAAGACTAAAGGAAACATGACTGGGAGAAGTGGGATGGTTCGGCAAGGCAGGGGAGAGAAGACAGTGCAGGTCATGCCAGAAGCAAAGTGGGAATTTATGGGAAGAAGTCCTCACTGACTTAGCAAACCCAATGGCTGCAGCAACAGACAGATGGCTGCCCAGGGCTGTGAGTGATGGAAAGGGCTCAGCTGTGGTGTAGTGCTAAACAGGGCTTAGCACCAGGCTCAGGTCATTATTGGGTCTGGAAGCTTTACCTCCTTTCTGGGGCACTGAGCAGTGTATGACTGCTTTTCCCACCAGACAGGCACCAGGCTGCCCTGGTGATGCTGAGAAGTTTGCACCTTGTTTCTCCTGTACTGCTCCTTACAGCAATAAGGTGAGCCCATTGTCATGCACTGGAAAAACTTGTTTTGGAGCCTAGATATCTCTGACAGTTAATTTAGGCTGTGAGCAGGGACGTCATCCACATGTACAGGATGTTTGTCTGCTCTCCTCTCTGCCAAGGTCCTCCATTACTATTAAGGCCTGCATGGGGAGGGGACAGAATTAGTTTCTGCCCGGCTCTGTCTGCTCCATTCCCTCCATGCCCTTTGCAGCCACTTGCAGGAAGGATGAAGGAATAATCCCAAATCTGGATACTGTAACACTGTAGCTACGAGACAGTAAAATAAAAGAAATCCTTATTACTGAAAGGCCCTTAGCTCTGGGTTGAATGGTCTGCTTCAAAGTCTCAGTGAAATACCTCTTTCCAGCTACTAAATACTCATCCCTATTATCTATGAGAGCTAAACCATATGCACAGTTATGATTAAATGTGGGTGCTGCAACTAACTTCTGTTCATTCAGAGCACAACTATCAACACAAAGCAGTAAGTGGTAAGAACATCCTTCTGTTACAAGAGTTTCAGGGTGGCATCAACTGTTTTACACGCAAAGTTTGGGTGGAACAATTGACCAGGAAAGAAAACCCCACTGAATGAAACTAAACACAGAGACAAAACCAAGAAGAGAATAAAAAATGAATGCAGTGTTGGATGTTATATCATACATGTACTGTAAAAGAGGATCAGTTTGAAAAGGATTTGGAAATTTCACAGAAACCATCTTGTTATCTATGTAAGTAAAACCAGACCTAATTATCAGGCTGTGCTCAGTCATGCTGTTCCTGTTAGCAAAGCCCTCTCAGAAAGTGAACAAAAACCAAGTAATTTTAGGGTTCCTCTTACCTGCAGAAAAATCTGAGGATGGAAAGGAAGAAAATAGCATTGAGTGGTACTTTCAGCCTTCTAGACATTAGCTGGTAGTAGAGACCCTGGGACTGCTAACCAGCTCATGTTTGGCTATTCTGCAAGTTAAAGTATTATTTAATCAGAGCAAGCAAAGTAATACAGATAATGCAGAAATCCAAAGGTACCTTAAACCCATTTTTGTACTTTCTCTCTCAGCCCATATCTTTGGCTGTAGCTCAGAGTCTGAGCATCTGTGCACAAATTGATTTAAAGATACAAGTTCAGAAGTCTCGATGGTCAGAGTTGAAGGTGGAGAGGCAAATACTCAGATGATGAGAACTGGAGGAAATTCAGTGAAGTCTTGCATGCATGGAGTTACACCAGTAGGCAACCAAACCACTCTTTAATTTCATCTAACGATTCCCATACTCAGGACCATCTAACAGGTCATGATGCCTCTTGTAAAGGGAAGATGCTCAAAATGTGTCAACTTTGTACTGCAGGGATACTTCAATTCACTCTGTTACCTGATGGGAAGGGATGAGAGGCTTGCAGCAACCTCATTTGCTGGTGCCAGCTTTCTGGCACCTAAGCTAGCAGGTCTCCTGTTTCCATGCATCCCTAAAGCACTGATTCCAAGGCACCAGCACAGCAAGCCTCACTGCAGAGACACACCAGCATCTGAATCAAGGGATGGAACAGAACACAGGCTAAAAACCTCTGGGCACGAGCTGAGGGTCCTCTCCAAAGCTGTTGCTCATCAGGAAACAGTAAGCAAGAGCCAGGAAAGTTAGAAAACAAGCCTCTAAGAGAAGCAGAACATAGCAAAGCTGGCAGCAGCCACAGACAGGCCAAGAGGCAGGATCACACCAGCAGACAGGAGAAGCTGAAGAGGGAAGAGCCTTGCAGCAGCAGCAGCATCAAGTGGCCCAAAAGCTGGATCTGGAGCAGAAGATGCTGTACTCAGAGTCTGCATGAAAAAAAAAAAAAAAGCTATAGCTGAAAGGTAGCTCCCCAGCTATATTCCCCAGCTGAATGTGTGCAAGTGAAATGGCAGAGGTAGCACTAGAAGCTGGTATTAACACCATCACAGCTAAATGTCAGAAGTAGCCTAGAGAGGGAACTTCACTCTGCAGAATGCATAGCTGTGAAATCCATCAAGAAAACTGATGTCTGCTTCTATTAGTACCACAACAGCAGTTTGACCTAAATAGTGATTTCTGTTCAGCATTGAAAGACAAGCAGGAATAAGGTCCAAAATATGAGTCATTAAAAATAGAAAAAGGCCAACAACATGTACTGTACTCCACAATCAGCTCCTTCCCAAAATGGGGCCAAAAGCTGACATATTTTGGATTATTCCATAGCAAATCTTACTGCCACTTCAGAATTTTTGGCTGACACCTTGATGACACTGAATTAGAGTCAGTCTATGACACAGAGATTTTAAATAGACAGTGGTGGTCCTTATGAATTTCAGTAAGTGCATTAAGAAACAGAATCACAGTATTGCAACACCATGTACTCACACATGGTAGTTTTGACTATAAAGCCCTTGAATGCTTGGCAACCCACCATTGCCTGGTTTACTGTGACCCCTTCATTGCCTGGCTCTGGTTTGGATTTTTCTGCTGATGACCTTTTGAGTTATTGCCCTGGCAAGAATGGAGAGCTGACAACGACTACCAGTCACTGGTCCAGTCTTTCTAACATACTCAAGTGGGAAAGAATCAGTGGAAATGCCTGAGATGCTCCTGTGTAGACTTCTGAGAGTGACACCCTTAGTGCATATATGTAGCACAGTAGTCCAAGATTACTTGAGCTTACTAGCTCTAATAATAATTTTAATTGCCACAGCTCCTAACTGAAGTGTACTTACTATTCAAAATGCTTTCAAAACTACAAAGCTGATGTACTTGTTTACTTACAACCTCAGCATGTACACCTTATACAGGACTGAGAGAAAACATATAGGCATCTGTGATCTCTAGGAGAGAATACTGCTCCACAGCATCCAACCCTAGTTAGTTGGCAAGCACTTCTGAAACATCATGCTTAGTCTCATTTCAAGATGCTAAACCTGATATTTTGTTAAACCTTCTGTTTAGCTTACTATTCAAATTACTATTTTTTCCTTTATTAGTTTCTTTGTTCAAACAGTCGGAAGCATGCAACTCCACCCAATTTCTTCATTACACCAGTGCCCTTAAAATGTTTATCTGTGTGTCAGCTTGGTGCTTGTATTCTAGTGTCTGAAATTGTTTTGCCTGGAAGCTGTCAGTGATGTTCTGTTCCCCTCCTTTACTCCCCCCCAGTAAAGCGTGTACTATTTATCTTCTTACCGTAATTTTTTAAAATAGAGATTATTTCTTTTAATAGCTATGTGTTTTCATGCTCCCAATTTTAAGTCCCTAAAAATACTGACCATAAAAAGTACACTCAGCAATCCTACAGCAGACCATGTGCGTGCAATTACCTCATTTACACAAACACAATAACCACACAAAATTCAATGCCCCATCTGGAAGATAGGAAATATTATTTCCTTTCTTCTACCTTGTCTGTGTACATAGCTGACTCTCGAGGATAAGCAGAGTCTCATTATGTTGGTGGATATATATACACACATACATAATACATATGTTCACACAATACTGCAGATAATTGGCACCTGATTTCTGCTGAGGCTGTGAGCAACTCTGGTAAATTATTGTACTTCAAATTTTAGCATGGAATCTCTCGCCAACTTTGCCCATCCTTGCCATTTCCAGCTCAGGCTGACAGTTTTGGCTGGTTGCCTTCTCTGCTTGGGTAAACCTGGGGAAGCACAACTGTGCAAAGACACAGAACCTCCCCTCTCCTCCACCTGCCCCATAGGTGTTTGGTGGGGCTTGAGCCAGGTGATGGAAAGTAAGCCCTCATGGCCATTTTCACAGAGAGAGGGGCAGATCAGGAGAACTTGGGCCTCTGATGCACCCTGTGATGAATGAAAACTTCTTCCTCTCCTCCTGTCCCACCAAGTGGAAAGAGAAAAGTCTCTGGAGAAGCATGAATGCAAAAATCCCCAAGATTTCTCCAGCTAAAATAGTACCACAACTGCAGGAGGAGCTGGGACATCACACAGGTCATGCAGCAGAAAAAAAGGGGGAAAGCAAATGTTTAGTACAGAAGACTAATAGTGAACTTCTGGGTTTGGAGTTTTAATATCTCTTTGTTGGATGGGGAATGACTCCAGCATATGTTCATGTAGAGAACTCCTACATTACAAGCTACAAGGGACTCTGGAGGTGATCAATTCTAAGTCTTCCAGCATACTACTTACCTTGTTCCTGTTGGAAAAGACTCACCCCTAGGGTGACACAAACATGTCAATTTTTTAAGAGCTACAAGCTGCACTGAGTTTCTACGCAGGAATTTTAAAAACATACGCACTTAAGCATGATGTTCTATCTCTCTTCCTTCCCCAAAACACTGTGCCACATTAATCTGGTCTCAAATAATGAATGAGTGGAAGTACAGACATTTCCAGGAGCATTTAACATACATTTGTTGGAAAAGCAGCACTGCCTTTTTCTCTCACTTATTTCTACAAATACAACCCACTCTACTGCAGAGGGTTTGTGACAGCCCAAGGGCATATGAGAGGCCATTTATTAAAATGCTGGCAAAGAGTACTGGCATTGTGCACATCAACTCCTGCTTCATCTAGGGTGGACAGGGGGCAACCAGACCCTGAATCTATTGTGAGGCCTCAGAGATGAGACGGAGCAGGGTCTGCTCTTTTCACTGGAGTCCCCACCAGGAATTCCTGGAGAGTACAAAGCAGCCCCTTAAAAATGTTTCTGTCATTATTCCAGCCTGCAAAGAGCCCTAGAAGCTGCTCTCTGAAGTTACCGGTCACATTTGCTAGTATTGTCTTCCAGTAACAGATAAAACGTGCAGGCTGCAGCCACACTCAGGCACAGCTCCTGTTGCACCACGGGCTGGTCCTGGCACTGGCAGCAGAGAGAGAAAAGACAGCTGAAAAGAAGCAAGAGACAGGAGAAACCCAGGAAAGAGAGGATACAGATGGTGAGGAATGAGGGAGCTGGATTGGGGTTTTTTCAAGTTTGCTCCACTGCCAGGTTTTCCCAACCATGGGTCATTAGCCCCTTCCAGTATTGCTTACTGTGAAAAAAAGCACCTGGAGAATGACACACCTTTGAGAGCCAGGCTGTTCTCACTAAACATTTGGTGATTTTTTGAAAACAAAGTCTCAAGTAAAGAGATTTGCAACATCCCCTTTCTGCCAAGTGAATCTATCATTCTTATAGCTTGACCATTTTTTGTGCTACTACAGTGGATCCAGAGTCTTTTTTTCTTTTCTTCTTTTACTACTACTAATAATTTTTAATGGGTTCAAATTTCAGATAGCTCTTTCTTTAGAAAACAGGGTACTGCATGGTACTTAAGCTATTGGGGAATAGCAGAGCTGCTTTCCATGTGTGTCAGGAACTCCTGGTGATTATAAGTGCTGCAGATGTGCATCTCCTTCATTAATTTTTTCTAATTCAGGCCTACGAAAGTGAAATTTTGTGATTTACAAGTTGTTCATGACCACAGTGTACTGCTGCTGTAGCCAGGGCTGGGGCCTCTGTCAGGCTGTACAGAGCTGTGTTTCACAGGCAGCCGCAGCACACACCAGCTGTGCAGCCCCAGAGCTATGTGGGGCAGCAGCAGCTCGGGTTGGCAGCTTGTGGCAGCCACCATGACATCTCCAGCAGCTGTCACAGGGCTGCCCTGCATGCAGACCCAAAAATCTGGGTGCCAGACTCTCCCCTCTCCTTTCTTCCCAACACCAGAGACCATCTAAAAGCAAGAGCAGTGTAAAAACTGAGAGCACTAGGAAACAGCTATTTATGCATTTTCAACACTGTACTATGGTTAATCTGTGCTTCCTTTTCAATGCTGTCAGGTGAAGGAAAGAGCCAGAAAGTATCTCAGAGAGGTATTATCTTTGCCTTTCAGGTCTTTTAAATTAGGTCACTTATAAAGAAGAGCTCTGCTTTTTAACATTTTTTATATGACAATCTCAAAGCAATTGATATTCAGTTAATTCACAACCTTCTCTGATTTTGGATTTGTTGTTCTCATTTTCACTGTAGACATCAAGGAAGAGAAAAGCTCAATCATTGGCCAAATACCATGCAATTCAGCAGTAGCAGAACTAAGAACAAGGACTCGACATGCTGAATATATTCTGGCAGCTTCCTCAAGCTTAACAAGTGAAACCTGAATTGAGGTGATACACATGCTCTTGGGAGGATTTCAGCTGATGTCTGAGGTCTTCTGAGCAAGCACAGGGAAGAGTGATTAGCTCCGTTTCACATGAGGTTTTGCAAACCACATCACACTTTACCTTTGCTATCCTTGTGTGTGGGAATGTGTAACAGGACTGAAGGAGGACAGCTGGAAAAGAGACAATTACTACCTTCTTTCATACACTAGTTGTTTCTAGTCTTCAGTAGGTGAGTTAGGCAGCTCATAACATCCTTAAGAATGGCCCTATGCTCCCTGGCCCTAAGAAGTCAACTTAGGAAGAGGCTTCTACAAGGACAGAAGACTCGTAAAGACAGAAGAATTACCATCACCTCTTCTCAGTGAACATGTCAATGTGAGGGTTTTAACTAAGGAACCACTAAGGGCAGGGGAGGAAAACACACATTTCAGCAGCTTGAACTCACCTCTTGAATTTCTCCTGATGTCTAAAAAAGACAGGGGGAGCTTCCCTTTTGCACCCTCTGTTCCATATGAGCTCCAGATGCGTGCATGCTATTTTCAGAGTCAGAGGATACAGATGTCATTAAATATGCTGGTGATCTGCTCCAGTCTATTGAAATTTTTTTAATCTGAGATCAACACCCAAAAAAGTATTTGAAGACTCAGCATGAAGAGGGGAAACAACTACAATGAAAGTTGTAGTTCCCATATTACCAAAACAAGGTGCAGGGTACAGATCATAGCCAGCATCATGAGCCCTAAGTCCTGACAATTGATTTGGGATATCTTGCAGGACCTCTGGAAAAAGCATAAAACATTCCAACATGGTGTTTTCTGCTCACATGGTAGTAGGGTTATGAAGTAGCTTTTTATGACCCATTCAGTTTTCCTTTTATAGCAGCCTATTTATACACTCAAATTCAGTCACAGCTTCCACTGTACTGATTACTACAGTGCTCATTTCCTCATTCTGAACTGAGCATGCATTTCTTTTCTTCATTTTTGTTCTCTCCTTATTAGATCTATTAACCTTGCATTACTCCTCCACCCTGTTGCTTAGCCTCTCCTAGGCTTCTTTTCTAGGGGCACTTGTCTCACTGACAACTAAGTAACCAATAAAATAAAATGTTTTAAGAAAAACTTTTCATCTTTTTTTCCATTTTTAAATGCATGAAGAATAGATCCAACACAGTATTTGAGCAGCGGCTCAGTATCACTTAAGTTACAACATCTTCTTCCACTCTGAACAGGCCATGAAAGTAACACTTCTTAAAACTCACTATGCTTTCTACAGTCCCATTTAGTTACTGTGTTGGTGAGTGCCTAAAGGCCACTGATCCTATTTGCTTACATCATGTATTATCAAAGTCACTGACCTGTACATCATTTGAAGACTGAAATCCAATTTGATGTTTTCCCATTTACACCAGACATAAGTTGTGCAGCAAATGTTTTAACAATGCTTCTAAATTCACAACACACTCAGTCCAAAACTCCTGAGTTAATATTTTTGCACTTGGGATTGTTAATGTTTGCTAAAACCTGAAACATTCTTCAGCTGACTAAAAGCTTTACATCCTTAGAATATAAAATCTAAATATAAATGTGGTGGGCGTATGTGGATCTTTTCTCCCTGAGGAGGCTCTGTTACGAATTTCCACTGTTTTACGCCACCACCAAGTCTCTTCTAAGCTGTGACACCTGTTCAGAATTTTCAGCTTCTTAACCCTTTATTATACTTCCTACCATCTGCAGCAGAAGTGCAGGAAAAGAGTTCCATCATCCTGGACTTGCTGTATTAATTCTCCATGACTCCTTGGTGTCCTTCAGTATTTTATATTAATACCCACCTTAAGGACAACTAACTAAATAGAGGAACTTGCCTCCCTCATAACATATGCCAGTAAATAATCAGGCTATCAAGCAGACTCTGGGAAGAAAACCTACAAATTCCATAGGAGGAACACCAAAGATAATACTATTAATAAATATTATTACTGATAATAATAAATGGTTTATACAAAAATGAAACAGCACCATAACTTTCATGTAACATTATGCTAAATACATTCTTATAATTCACATTTACAAGGATTCCCTATTCTTAGGTTTGATATATTTAGCAAACATTGGCAGTGCACAATGCTACTGACCAAAAGTTCTTTAAGCATTACTATGCAGATGCTCTTTTTAACATTTCTGGAAAAGACAAACCATGAGGATATCTCCTAGTTAAAAGTCAAAATACCATGTTAAGACAAAATGACTCTGTAAGAAAACATGTTTCAAAAGACTTTTTCATTAAAAACCACATATATGACTCAAATTAACCACAAAATGGATTTTGACTGGATTTATTCACACAGATCAATCCAAATTCATTTTAGGCCCAAAATATATATCATAAGGATACTAGTAAATTTTCCCAGGTACTAGAGGATCTTGTATAAATGTATCTGTTCGAGTGCTTCTCTGTCAACATCCTTTTCCATATACACATCATAGTTTAGCTGCACCTCTTCGACCCACTGACTGAGCTGTACATCTGTCTGAAACAATGAAAGCAGATCCTTAAATGAACACCATGTTAAGAAACAGCAGGAGTTTCAAGGTTAAGGAGTTTCAACATTAGGAAGGCAAGACATAAATAATATGAGAGATTAATCATTCCAAATTATATGGCAATGATAAATTCATTTATGGAAAAGCCATTTTCACTCAAATAGGAGATAATAAAGGTAACTTTAAAACTTATCTCAGTCAATAGTCTAGATTATTTTGTTAGCATACTACAACTGCTTTTCTTTATGCATTTGTATAAGCCCCAAGCATCCTGATCAGAAGGTGACATTCTGACAGACGTGCTGAGGGAGCAGCTAACAGTATTGTGGAAGAATCACAGGTATTTTCTTGTTTCACACCCAGGAAGTATTGTATTAAGGCTACAAAGGGCTTCTCAGCTGCTCTGTGACTACAGCCTGCTCCATGAAAAGTTCAAATAACACCATTGCTCTTGGGGATGACAATCTACTTCACCCATCAGCATACAGCAAACAGGTGATTCAATTTCTCTAAAACTAACTACTGTTGTGAGCAAGTCACTTTGTACATTACCTTGTCATGTCTGATCAGCATTTTGTTTCCTAGCTAAAGCTAGGCCATGTAATTTGACTAGGTGTCACACAGACGATCTAGCAATGACCGATGGCAGAATGGAAAGAGAGCAGAGCGTGGCTGATCAGGTGTGTTTACTACTCAGGGAACACCACAGAGCATTCAAACATGTTTGAAAGATGCACTGTCGTTATGTTTGCTTCCAGCCACAATTTAAAGCTATGTAACTGATTCAAGATGCCTGATGGCAGTCACTTGGCTAGCTGGGAGACCACATCCCAGTACTAATCTGTACTTCCTGAAGCTCATCCTGCAGTATTAATACTCATGTATATACAATACTCATGTTAATACAATGATTCATGCAGCCTACTGACATAGGCTGGGATTTTCCTTTTTACAGGAGGACAATTGAAGTACGGGAAGATGTGTTGGTGGTCAACCTCAAAACAGAATCCAGAGTCTTCCACCTTTTAATTTCTGCAAAATATTATATATCCTTCCTTACAGCAATACTGGCAAGCAGCTAACTTCAACTACAGAAATGCCACTTCCACAGAAAATAATGATGTCTGTCAGCTAAAACAGGCTGAGGGAACTTACCTGGAGCTTTGAAAGTGATTCCTCAAGACTCGGAACTGTCACTAATAAGGACCCTCTTTTCCTTACATTACAAGCAATAAATTCCCAAGCTCTGAAACATATTTAAAGGTAGATGACCAATTTTTTTTGGGAAAAAAACAACAATATTCGATATACAATGAATCTAACACATGCAGTTTATTGGCAAGAGACTAACCTTAAAGACTTGCAATACATGTTTATCAGTCATTATTAATATCTAAGCAAATATATTTGCAGGAATAAAACAAAGCTTTGTATTAAAACCACAGGGAATATATGGTCTTACAATGTTAGATTTTGTAACTTTATAATTCTCATACATACATGCATATAATTTAGTATTGCCAAGACTTTCACTTTGAACAAGGATTAAACATTGACATTTGGCCCCTTTAAATTTTTGGGTTTGAAGAAAATCCAGTCCTGAAGTGCAGTCCTTTATTAAACATCACAGTAAGTTGCTCTTTACATACATACATACATACTTCGTGTACAGTCGTGACAAAGTACTTCTCTTAAGACATTAGTAATCAGTGTTTAAATACAGCCCCCAGCGCTCCTTTTTTTTTTCATTTTGCAAGTAAGATAATTTCTCACAGCATGGCAATTCAGACTAAAAAGAATTTAATTTCCAGCATTCTTCAAATGTCATTTGTCTTCATGCTAGTAATGCAACACTAAACCACTATCCCCAAGTTATGAAAGAATCAAATGAATTCTCAGTCATGTGCCTGGAAACATATCTCCTGGCATTTTGAAACACCCACTATCCTTTACCCATCCACTCTGTGCCTATGGTTGGCATTATCACTTGGTATCCTGGGCAGCAGGGTAAGCCTTAGCTGAAGCTGGTACAGAATGTCAGACTTGGCTGGGACAAAGTGGAGACACAGGTACTCCTTTTTGACTGCCCATTCTAAACTTTGGATGACCAAGTTATTTACATTTTAAACGGATGCTGCTGGATTAGGAAAAGCTCATCTGTGAGTGTCTGAAAGTGACACTTTGTTGTGAGTACCTGAAAGTGAACCTTAGCCACATGTTTTTTTGCTACCACATCCTTATTAATATCTATTAGAAATACCATTTATAACCATGCTTTGTAGTCTGTATATATTAAAGCTCTGACATCCACAAGTGAATGACTCATCTTATTTCTGAAGATTAAGCTTTATGCTGATACAGTTATTTCAGATTCTTTAGCAGCAAGATACTATTTTAACATATCAGTGAAAGGATTCAAGCCAAGGTTTGGGTAAACAAAGCAGCAGTGTTTAGTGGGTTTAACAATAGACAACTGCCAGAACACCTTAGCAGCTAAGTATAACAATTAAAAGTAGGCAGTATGAAACAATTTCCTTATATAAATTATGTATGTGCCTTCAAAAAGCACAACCTTAAGGTTTTCCATAATTCACAAGGTTACACACATATTGCCAAAGGAATAGGTAACTTGTTTGGACACAGAGCTTACCTGGCTTGTTCCCGTCTGTCAAGAAAATATTCAAAGACATTATTCATTACAACAACATCAGCCTTCTGCAGAAGTGAGGGCTGAGTACAGATGTCTGCATGAACCACCTGAAGGAGAAAAATTTCCCAAGGCATAAATTAAGAGATGAATACACCCTTTGAGAAGTCATGAAGCCTGTTAGCCTAATACAGCACCTGCTACCACCCTTTTGAACCAGTCACAAAAACAGGTATTTCACTGGCTTCACAGAAGATAAAACTGACATGCACAACGATTAATAACTTTTCAAAAATGAAAAAAAAAAAATCAGATTTAACTCCTTTAATTAAAATACTCAATCCATTATGCTAAGTAAAATAAAGTGCATCGGAATTTTGGTTTAGAACCGTGTGCCATAAAAGAGGAGATGATATATGTGATGACTGTTACACTTCACTTTCCTATATTTTATCACAAATGTCCAGTAATTTCAGGAAAGAAGTTAAGCAAGTTGAAGCTATTTTGAGGACATTAAAAGGCATCTCCCAGAGTCAGTGGGTTACTGAAGGATTATAGCTAGAAAAGATACTACAGACTCAGATTTGACAGCTGAATTCTCACAATGCATATTGGGACAGGGAATGCTGGAAAGGCAGGATGCTCAGCAGCTCTGAAGGATCCTACTAAACAACTGCCTCTTCAGTCAGCACAGGAGGAGCTGTTTTGATTTCATCTACCTTCACCTCCCAAAAAGGGTATTAGCACATCATGTCATTTTTCAAAACAAGTGAGACAGGAGAATGTGGATGCTCATTAACACTTTGATGTGTTTGATTTCCTCTTAAAGACAGAGAAATCTATCAATCTGACTCAATGATCCATGTGGGTCCTTTTCAACTCAGTATGTTCTATTATTCTGCATCCCAAATCTGATGAGAAATGTAAATTGGAATATCTTTTGAAGGGATAAGTAGTAGTCAGCATAGATTCACTAAAGTGAAGTCATGCTTAACCAACCTGATTGACTTCTGTGATGAACCAGTTACCCAGATGGATGAGGGGAGATCAGTGGATTTTGTCTATTTTGACTTCAGCAGGGCTTCTGACATATTTCTCACATCCTCACAGGCAAACTCAGGGTGTGAGTGGGCAGTGAGGATTGAGAATTGACTGAATGGCAGATCCCAAAGGGCCATAAACAGTGGCACAGGGTCTAGCTGGAGGCCTGTCAATTCTGGTGTCCCCCAAAACTCAGTACTGGGTCCAGTATAGTTTAATTTATCCATGAATGTCCTGGATGAAGAGCAGATGCCTCCTCAGCAACTTCACTGATGACAGGAAGCTGGGAGGTGTGGCTGACACCATGGAGGGATGGGCAGAGAGGAACCTTCTGAAGTTCAGCAAAGGCAAATACAGGGTCCTGCACCTGGGAAGGAATAACCCCATGCACAGGATAGGATACTAATCATAGTCCTAGTATTTTAAACTACAATTCAGAAAGATCCTTGAACTACTGGAAAACTCTGAATATATGTTGATGTTTCCTTGACTTGAATGATACTTAAGACTTGACCTAAAATTACTCTGTATTTACAGAGCAAGTGACCATACTGACCAAGTCACCTAAGGGTCACTCTCCCCAAACACATTCCCCCTTAGGAATTTGGGACCACATAAGCATGTGTGGCTGCACAATGAGCCAGACCCAGGTACTGCTCTAGTCAAAATCCCAATTTTGCAGATTTTGGTTCTCTGTTCTGATTTGCTTGGCTGTGTGCCAGCACAACAGAGGAGGCAGCAACTGATTTTAAAACTGCCCTGTAGTCCAACAAATACACACCAAGCCTTTCATGACCACAGGCAATTTCTGAATTTCTGAATTGAGATCTAAAGTTTCCTAAGATCTGTTGAACTGTTTACTTTCCTCCCAGTATCTAAGTGTTTCCTCAAATGGCAAAAGATGCTGAGCAACCTTCTATGTACTTTAACAAAACAAGTGTTTACCAAAGAAACACAAGGTTCACTCAGAGATTAAGCCATTAAAGATACCATTTCACTTTGCTATCCTTTAGGAACATATTCTAGTAAAAATTCAGAATATCTTGAAAAAAACAATCTCTATTTAAGAAGAGTCTCTAGAAAGTTTTTCGAACTTGTGTCATGAATTATGACCAGCATCTGGATTCTCACAACTTTTCAAGCTGAATGTTCCTCTAGAGAGGATTCATTTGGGGGTGAAATAAAAATCTAAGATTGAAATGTTCAAAGCAGTGTGATAACAGGAATCACATGACTAAATTAGCATTTAATGAGACTCAAATAGCTAAGTCCTCGGGCACTGCTTTGAAAACCTATTATCTTATCTTTATGCTCCAAAATGAATACTTCAGCAGAATTACAAGGTGTGAAGAAAATACATAAAAGCTTATAATAAAAAATACACAGGGCTGAAAAACATGCTTATAGATCTCCAGCTCCACTAAATTAACTTGACAGAGTTCCTAACTGTACTTTCAGTTTCATCACCATAAAGTGTTATGAACACAAAACATACGCAAAACCCAAAGGTTATGGATAAACTGTCAGCAACTGCGACTGAAATGAGCAACCCAATGATACTGCTTACCCTGTGTTAAATATTTTATGTTTATTTTTTCTTTCTAGTTTAAAATTGGGTTACCTTAATACCAAAGAAATTACTATGCTCAGCAGTTTGTGTGACTTCATTCAAGAGCACATACATTCAACACAGGATTAAAGCCAGTATTCTACTATGCATATTCTACTTACTAACTTTTGCTGGTAACAAAATAATAGGTATGGTCCAGAAAGGAATTTTTTTTTCTTCTTTAATATATTGGTAGCTATTCCCATAATGAAACTAGGGAAATGATGCCCATAATGATAGCATTTTGTCTGAAATCCATTTTGTTTGTGGAAGGTACATATACATGGACATTCTATGAAAGGAAATACAGATAATTCTAAATCATTTAGGTGTCCTTAGATGCAAATTTGCAAATCCTACCAACATTTTTCTGCTAACAAAAGTGAATCACACACATTTACTTTTGTATTTGTGACAGAAATTCCTTATACACTCAACTTCGCAGAAGTGAGTGGCAATGATGTAATTGATTTCACTGGGAGAGTCAGCTAAGATGTATCTGTTTTCTGTGAACCAATGGGTAAGTCCAGTCAGGAAAAAGGCTAAGAGATTCATATTTTGATAATTTCCCTCTTCCTCTCTACTGTAAGATCTTTTTTTCCTAACGCAAAGCCTTTGTTTATGATCAAAACAAGCAAAGGCAGAAATTTCTCAGAATGCTGGTTTGCCAGCCACTCACTTAAACCAGATACCTTGCACATAGTGGTTAAAAATGTAATCATCATTTCTTGCAACTGGCAAAAGTCTGCATTCATTTCTACTCCATACAGCAGGGAAGCTGAGCTATAAAGATAACCCTACATTAGGAAAAGGAAATTTAGTAACTGTGATGCCTTTAAAACAAGTTCAAAATTTTCATTTAAAAAGAAGAGAATAAAACACGAGTTAAGATTAAAAACCATTTTAAAATAGTGAGTTGAGAAATGTCTTTCAGTGGATGTGAAATATTTTTCAGGGCTAAGCTCCTGATTTGGCAATTCCCACTTAAGCCTCACAAATTTTAGTAAGAGATCCAAAGTGACACATCAGCAAGAAGGAAAGGAAAGCTCCAAGTTCACCTCAACTACAAAACAGATGGAAAATAGTCTAAGAAAGAAAAAAGGTGTACAAAACAAGTTATGAAAATAGTGTTTAGGGAAAAGACTCTACTGTAGTTTTTGTTTTTTGGGAGAACTGAAGAAAATATCAAGAGAAAATAACAAAAATATTAAACATAACATAGTCAAAATGAGTGAAAATGGAGGACAATGTACCAATAATATAGTGGGATATTTTGATATCAAGTCTTTGCCAGCACCTCTAAGTTACTGTATTACTGACATTTTCAGATGCTTCATGCAAGTACATATGCAAAAAGAAAAAAAAGCTAAATTATGATGTAATTTTAAGCCCAAAAAAGAGTTTAGTTTTGGACTAAGATTTTGGGAAGTTGTTGGAAATGTTAAAAAAAAAAAGTACAAATACTTGAGCATACAGTGCTCTAACAAAGATACTGCTTTAAGTGCCACTGTCTCCATTGAGCACAATAATTACACTTTGCCAGACAAATAATGCTGAAGATACAGAATATCTAAGATTCACATGTATTACAACTTCATTATTAAGGTTTTCTGAAACTGTTCAACTCAGAAAGTAGAAAAGCAACCTGTGAAGTCACTCTTCCTCCAAGGCAAGACCATGTTACAAAGCAGAACTCTTTTCTGAAAGAGTGCTTCCAGAGTATCTTCTGCTATAATAATACAAGGATTTAAATACTTCAAAACAAAATCAGCCTAGCCTAGTGTTACCATTTAAGGACCCAATTCTGCAAATATTTACAAATGGGAGTAACTTTCCTCATTTGAGTAATCCCAAAATTAGACTATTCAAATGAGTAAAATCACATGCTCAAGTGTTTGCAAGATTGAGCCCTAAGCAGACACTGACTTTTTAAAGAAAGTAGTAATGTGTGTTTTGCATTGCTGTTGGCCATATGTTATACCAGCCATGCCAAAAGCAATCAAAATTGCACTCAAGTTTCTCGATGAAGTATTTTATGTGCATTTTAAAATGCAGAGCAGGACAATATGTTTTTAGAGACAAATTCATATCAAAGCCTTCCTTTGTGTATTTTAACAGTTTATCAGCTTCATAAAGGAATTTAACATAACTAATCTATATATAGGCATGGTCAAGACATGAGAGGACAAACTTACTTATGAAAGAGACAGCAGGAACAAGCAAAAGAGCAGCATGTGTGACAGCAATATGCTACTCTGTTGGACAACACTTTTTCTCTCCATAAGCAAGATCATTTGTAGTCCCTCTTGTGAGGAACAGAGGAAGAACTGAAATTGCTAGTAAACAGCACCTTACACTATTCAGAGAGTCAGATCGGAGGTGCCTCTCAGAATGACCCATCCAAGATTGAGTAATGAGAGTAGGCAGTCAGAAGAGAGGGAAAATGTTTGTCACAGTAATAAAATATGAATTCCTGTGCTGGAAGTTACCGCAAATAGCACTGCACCAAGCCTGGAGCCAACGTCAACCACTACCTTTCCTGTCAGGTCAGGCAGTACATGTTGATAAAGAAACTTCAGTTCCATGAGGGAAAAGGAATGCGAAATAAACTCTGGGAAATAAGAACAGAACAAAGGTGTTGGGTGGGCAGTACTAACTACTGTGTAATTAACCACTGAAATAGTAACCTGAGGAATTATCTTCACTGAAAACTTGTGTGGTTTCTTGACTGAACTAGTGCTGGGCACCCTGGAACACCAGGGTTTGCAGATCAGAGGTAATCAGCCAAGCAGCCTGTCCCAAGTCTGGAGATTCCTTGCCTTACATGGAGAATTTTGAAATTCTTCATGAAACTGAATTACCTGTTTCTGCACAGTAATGTGTAATGTTAAAGAATACAAAACAAAGTAACTTGGAACTGTTTAACTGAAAAAGGAAACGTAGTACCTAAGGCTCAACACAATTTGTGCAGAACTTTTTATGGGCAGACATATTAATAGCTTTAATTTCAACTCCAAAGTTTTAATGAATGGAATGTTCTCCATATAAACCATTCTTTCAATGTCTCTGCTATACTGGCACTGATCTGTACCACACCACACACAAGCTTTAAGACAGATGGTGCTTTCTACTGTTTTTCAGCATGTGAAAGGAGACTGAGGCTACTGCACGGACTCTACACTCTACACTTTCTCTTGCATCTTCCTCTCCAATGGTACATAGCCTGCCTCTTACCTGCCCAGTTTTTGGGCAACAATTGTCACTCATACACTGCAAATTAATTCAACTTACATGTGTAGGAGGCTCCTTCCATTGGTTATGGGAAATAATTCCGGCCTGTGTATTGCACCAGTCTGGACAAAGTCCTCCATCAGCTGGATGTTGTCTTGTCCAGCTGAGTCGCTGCACAAACCAGCTTAGTTAAACTCAATTTGTTTCTCTTGTTCCCGAAAGAACACTTACCTAGAGATGCAGTTTTGTATGAGCCACACTGTGTGCAGTAGCTCCTACTCATTTTCCCCTCCTCACACAATGAATCAACAACATCATCATCATACAGGAATGCATCAACATGAATCATGGGCAGTGGATGCTGGTGTATCTGAGAAGAAGAACAAAACCTTAGAAAGGCATAACCAAGTCTCTTAACTTCACTTTCATTGTCACATGTTAACTGTCCCACCATCCTACCTTTCCCAAAATCCCTGAGTTCCATGTTTTTCCCTATGCAACAATTACAAAAAAAAATAAAAATTAAACAATAGAAATCCTGCATGTAAATTGGGTATTCAAATTCCACTGAAATAACCAGTACGTGGCAGATGACAAACGAAAGAAAACTGGTTTTGATACCTGAGTATCAAAATTATACCTGAGTAGGGCATCTGATGTAAATTTTGTCTCTTTAGTTCTTGCTTGGCTATAGAGAACATATAGGGTAAAGGAAGCTTCTTCTCTTCTTTTAATGAGGAGAATGTTACTTAAATTTAGCAGAAAGATCAATTCTGCTTTTCAGCCTCAACTGACTATTTTCATCATTGTGCCTTATGCCTCTATCTAGAAGCACCCCTGATTAACATGGGTGTCACTTTCAATCAGAAGTAAACCAGTTCTCATCATTTCAAAGGGCATAATCTTCATCCTCCTATTCATCTTTCCTCCCTTTTCCAGGCTTGCTGCATTGGCCAATCCACTTTTCCCACTGAAGAGCCACGCACCACTTTTCTGGAAAATGCATTAACTTTCCTTATATACTGACAGCTCAAGTAGAAAAGGTGCACTCTCTTCCCACAGGACTCACAGCCCACCTCTTTCTGAGCCATCAGAATCTGAAAAGAGCTGGAGATCATCTCTGGGCTGCCCACATTATAGCAACAGCAAAACACTGTCCTTGTGTTACTGTTGCCTTTAAGGGGGCTGTTAGAGTCTATTATGGAGCTAGCATTAAAGAGTCACTGTGACAGGTGCCATACCACACAGAATGAAAGCTATCCCAAATACATATGATCAAAATACAAAAACTATGAAACAACTTTCTTGGAGTCATGCAAATATAGAGCAACAGACCTGAGAACCAAACTGAGATTTCCTATACTTCAATCCATGTTCATTCTCTATTATGAACTACTGCTAAAAATGGTATCAGAATAAATGATGTGGTTCAGCAAAAGCAAACCATAACAATTAGCTTACTTTCTGAACAGCTTGATGTTCTGAAGTAAACATTGCCTCGATGGGTAAACGATTCCGCAAATCTTCAGCGATATTTCTGAACACAACATCATTGTTACTCACCACAAGCTCATCAAAGTCATCTATAAATCAAGACAAACAAAACCCTTGAACAATCATATGCAGATCATGTGGACTAAGTGATGACCAGTACAATACAGTTGCAATACATAAACAACACCAGATGGATAAGGTTTTTTATTTGTATGCATTTTTCAGCCTTTGTTAGCTTTTCCAGCCAATGACAGATTCGGATTGTAATAACTTTGCCACATAAAATAAATGCACTGCTTTTCTGAAATCCTAAATTATTTTCATATTTATAAATTTATAACTCACATACGATAGTCTGGGCTGCCACCAAAGTGATACTGTTTCAGCTTAAGATATAAAAAACATCAAAGATGTTTTTGAACTATTGGAGAAATTACAAAAACTCAATAGTTGCCTGAATGCAGCCTCTTTTTTTTTTTTTTTTAATTCAAGTTTCTTTTTATACGTACGATCTTTCTAATAGACTTACAGAAAAATCGGGGATAATGCACAGTTCAACTCACAATATATTTTACATTACCTAAACTATCAAAATATCTCAAATGAGAAGAAAAATAGGAATGGATGTAAACCAATACATTTTTGCAAAGCCACACTGTAAATTTTTGCTGTTTTTCCAGAATATTTCTGCATTACTTTAGCACATTTTTTGAAGACATCTAGAAAAAAGATAGAGAAGGAAACCATGTGAAGACACTACTCATTTCTTCTATCAAGGCTCAGACAATACCAAGTGTCATTACGTCTCCAAACTGCTCTTTTAAAAATGATTTTTCATGCTGGAAACTCTACAACCACCATTAGCCGTCTATTCCAGTGCTTGACTAACATTAATATTAGAAAGGTATACCCTTTTTAATTACTGATTTAGATTTCCTCTGCCACTAATAACTATTTTCTGCCCCATTCACAATGGAAATGGAAAACTTTGTTCCTCTCCATTATATAGCAACTATTCCCTCCAGACTTATCATTTGTCACATCAGTCGTCTTTCCAGGAAAAACCAAGTTTTGCCTATCCAGACCTATCTGGATTTTTTTCTTCCTCGAGTGTAATGATTCTCAACACTTCCCTTTGGATCTCCTGGACTCTCTTCATCCTTTCTGACCTGCACTATTGAGAACCAGACACTCCAGCTGAAGGTCTGCTTGCTCTTACCAGACTTTTAACATCTTGCTGCCAACATCCTGCTTATACCCCTAATTTCATGTTAATAGTATGATGTTCCTAACTGGCATCTGCTGTATGCCTGTACCCTGCTCTTTTCTTGTTATGTTTTCCTCAAAAGAAGGACTAGATGAAATTCCTATTTGTCTGGACATCTCACTGCTTTGAGGATGCTGAACTGATTCTAAACAAAAGCACATCTCAGGTCAAAGTTGTAAAAGACAACTAACACCAACAAAAAACAACCACTAATCTAATCCTGAAAAAATATACCAAACCCATCTACTAAATCTAGTCTAAAACTGGACATGTATGTCCTCTCTTCCCCATACCTTCTGGTTGGCTTCTTGTTTTATTTAGACTGTAAACATGTTGGGCAGCAACTATGCTTTTTACATATACGTGCATCACTCAGAAAAAGAAAATCTTACAGCTTTTACAGGTGTTTTTAAAAAAGGCAATGTTTACCAGCATTGTTGTTCCAGGTGGGAACATTAGTACAGAAAAGCCTGATGGCAAACAGGTTAAAAATAAATCTACAGAACACACTACAAGTTTCTCTATGCTAATATATTTAATCTTTCCTGTGGATCACAGGAAATGCTAGAAAGAGTGAGAAATTTTAAGGCTAATATAGGAATCAGAAACTTACAAACCTTTAAACTATGAAATGCTTCTGAAATACTTCTTTTTGCCTAAACACTGTAGCGAGAGCAATATGATTAAAGAAACCATCATTCATTGGTGCAAAAAGCTCTCTTCTTAAGAGTGGAAATATAAATGGTTCTTTCAACACATCCAAGAATTAACCCAAGCAGATAATCCCAAATCACCTGTAGTAGGCAGCAGAAACTTTAAATTATCTGTATTCCCTTAAGATCTATTTGATCTATAATTTATTAAACGTACAGCAGTAATGCTCCAAGGCCCTGATGGGCCACTGCTACTGGTAGTTGTTACACTCCAGGAAGGCAATTCACTGCTCCAAAGTGCTTGCAGTTAGGCTCTCCAGAACCACAGCTCCTAAAGAGATGCACACTTTGCAGCCAGGAACACAGGAGGGACAGAGGCAGCAGCTGCAGCAGCAGCAACACCAATGCAACAGGTGCAACGCAGCAGCTCCAGCTTGTCAGCATTTTAATTTGAAACCTCTGATGAGCACCCATCCTGTCAAACTCACAGCCCATCCAACAATTTACAAGTTTGTCTGAACATCCCAGAAGCACAGCGATTTCTCCGATCAGCTTAGGGGAAGATTTCTATGGATGTGACTCAGCAGAGAAATAAACCCAGATATTATGGGAAGGGAAAGTGGGAAAATCTAACTGCAACTTAACTGAGACCATCAGCACCACAATATGCCCTCAGAGTGCCAAGGCGCCAGTTTGCTGAGGTGGATAACATCTGAGGGAGCAAGGGGAAAAATCCTGCTACAGACAGAACAAGAGAGTAGAAAGCTGATATTAGCAGCTGAACAGATCAGTGCCTGTGGGCAATAAGCCTCTACATCTGGCACTTGCTTTAAAACAATACTATTACTATGCAAGAGAGCTCATCCAGCTGTTACAGTGCCTGTTAAGAGTATCAAATTCATACATAGCATTTAATGAAACACAGGAAGTGTTCCTAGACCACCAGGCCAGCCACATCACACTGCAAATACAGAACTTCAGCTCTCTTCCTCCCAGATCTAGTGTGTCAATAGGATCTGCTCCCTCAAGGCCTGGGTGACCTTTCCTGGCCAACATTAGTGATGGATAGCTCTCCGGACTATTCAGTGCTCCAGCTCCACAGCAGAGAAACACACACCTTCAGTGGGACACAGGTAGCACATCTGTCTTCCTCTAACCAAGAATATCCCTCCCCTGCCCTGAGTTCTATCTGTACACCACCTGATCTCTTCTCTTCTATAAGGCCCTCTGATCTCTTCTTGCGAGACAAAGTATGGCACACACAACTTCTTGTATGCTCTGTTCAAAACAAGTCCTAAGGACAACACATCAAAGAAAAAACTGTTGAAATGCTGACACTGAAAAATAAATGACAAATGGAAATGCTCCTTTCTAACTATTAGTTAATACTCTAAAGCACAACAAGCAGGAACAAAAAGGAGAAGGAGGTCTGAACAGACTTCATCTGAGATGACAAAATGGCAACTGCAGCAGAAGCTGTGTGTGCAACACACGTGTGTATAGTCTGTGACTGAACTCTGACACGGAGAGTCGACTCCTTCCTGTCAAAGCAAGAAACAGCAACAGCTACCACAATAACTCATTTACTTTTGCAGTATGCAAATATTTGTAGATTGCCATCATCAAGTAGGAAACACCACTGCCAAATATGAAAATATGCACCTCTGCTGTTAGTTTTATCAACTCCACCCTCGTGTTTAACAAATTGCTCACTCGAGAATCTCAGTATTGCCTTAAAAGGGATCTTCAAAGAAGAAACAAAAATAGAAAACTATTTTATATATCATTTTAGTAGCTGTTATATACATGAAATGTATACAACACGAAATGGAGAGTGTGCAAGCCAACCTGTGTTCATTGAACAGACAAGCAACCAGGAAAGAAACGTACAGTTCATGAAACACTGCAAGATGAATCACAATCATTTGTTTATGGAGGAAGTCTGAGTGCGTAGTGTTTGTATTTTACTTCAAAAACCGGTTCCACTGGATTTACTCAACATGCATTTATAAAATTTAATTAACACGTTGCAAAAAGCCTCATTATCACCCTGGTGCTAGTCAGCCTTTCTACACAAGCTAAAAAAACATCACAAAGCCTCACACCAGATAGAGAGCACCGCTACACCAACATCTGAACACCCCAGAACTGCAAAACAGGATTGAAGACAAGCAATGTGCGATTTCCAAATGACAACAGAATGTCACTGAAGAAGAGGAAAGAAGAGGATTTAGCAGAGGCAACCATAGCAGCAAGTACCTTATGGTCTTCTAGGTAAATACTCCAACTCACAGAAGAGAAAAGCAAATACTAACAGCCATGTTACTTAATTAATGGTTAATTTAGTAATTCAGCATGTTTTAATAATACTGGACAACCAAGTCAAGGAGGAAGCAGTACATCCCTAAAACTTTAGTACTGCCCTTTTTGGCTAAACAGTTTGAGAAGCAATATGTGACCTCAGTATATCAAGTACCTCAGGAACTCTAAATATTATTTCTATCTCAAAGCATACATAGTTATTGGTAGAAAGCAATCAACTTTTTCCAACATAAACATAATCAGAATTCATTTTATTAGTTTAAGTCTTTTACATTGGTTAATTGACTAAAAGAAGATTTGAAGTTAAATTCTAAACAAGTTAAGTCTCATAACTGTTTTACAACCCCTAGTTTTCCCCACCACTATTACATTTCAATGACTAACAACTTAGGGAGTATTTGGTATTCTTGAGACCTCTCTCAGACCAGTATCACTTGTCAAAAAAGAAAATTAATGCAAATTCCCAAAACTGATGATTCATCCAATAGGTAACATCCCATTTTAGTTTATCTAACAGAGTAGTAAAGAAGATTTTTTTTGTGGTATCATTTTAACAGGTAAATCCATTCCAGTTAAAGTGAAAATGCAATGTTATTTTTATGTCTTCTGAAAGGATATTTTACTTGAATAAATCACTTCTACAAATTTGGATATGAAGCCTTTTTCACATACACACAAACACAAAACCACATACTATACTTGTCCCATTGCAGAAACACACATTTTCATCCTTTTTAAAGATAATCATTCCACTTTAGTTCCATCTGCAATGACTGAAAGGAAACATTTAAAGAATCAAGTTTTTCTTATTGTGTTTCCTCTTCTTGTCTTGTCCAGAGAACATGCTAATTCCTAGATAATAAAGTACATGACAGAAAATGCTGGACACACTTGGTCTGCTCCTAAGAGTATGATGAGAAGTTTCTTCTCTGTATGCAGAACACTGTACTAAAGCAGCACATCCTCCATAATCAGTTAGGTTGATTTTATCAGATACTCCTCTCTCACTGCCTGTTAAAAGTCTGGATTTACAGCACTGACTGCCCTCAACTTTCAAGTCACAAGACTAAATTGTACACCAACCTCTTAAAAAGCTCGTTTGTTCCCAGTACAAGTGAATCCACAAAAAAAATAACTTGCACTTCATTATATGTTGTTTATCCTTAAATCAGAAGATGTGCAATGAGATTTGCAATGCTTATTAATCAATTATTATTTTGAGTAATACTCTTGTTATTGAATATTTTGAGTACTGAAAGAACAATCAGCTATTCAGGCCAGTGTATCACTTTGAAATCTTAGCTTCATATTTAAGTTTCTAAGGACATGCATAGATTGGAAAAGGTTTGTAGGACTGTTTTATTACACTGTTACATGAACTGAAAAAAAGTTAGAAGTTAGTATCACAACAGTAAGTTTTAGCCCTGATGGAAAAATATTTCAATCTTAGACCCCATGACAGAACACAAGAAGCATTAAGGGTCTTATCAATTTATATGTGCTTCACTGACATTGACTGAGAGACAGGCTTTGTAATCTGCATTTAAGTGCTAGTACAGCAAAAGCATTCAGTAGTTGCCAGTAGGTAGAGTGGTTTGGTGACTTCAATCTCAAACTCAAGATTCAGATTCCTGTATTTACTTCCCCTGATTCCTGTGTTCCTGCTCATGTAAACAGACAGCTTGGTCACTTCACTAGTTATCTCCTCCAGCATTCATTCTTACCTAATGCAACATTTTCTGACACTGAAAATTTTAGAAGTCTGGGCAGTGGAGGTTCAAGTGGAAATGTGCCCCAGCTATACATCAAATGCTGGGACCCAACTGAATGGGATGGTCAGGGGGGGTTTTCCCAAGTGGTTTGAATTAGCTCTTGGGCTTCACCCAGGTTTTCTTAGCCGGAACTTCTGGAGCATGGTTATTGCAAAAGGATATTAAAACATTAATCATCCTATTATAAAAAAGTTAAGACACCAAAAGTTCCTGTTCTTTTTTTCCAACTCTTATTATTTAATTTTCTTTAAGATCTAAGACTAACTCAAAAGAAAAGCTGGAATGCAAGTCACCGTGAAATGACGTACATTTCACTGCAGTGTGTGGGAAGAGCAGGCTGATTGTGAAACAGCCAAGCAGTGTTGCTAAGCAGCTGCTTTAAAACAGTAACGTCTTCTTCAATCACACATGATTTGGAATTTCTAAAATTCTCAACACAAAAACCCCCACATTCATACGAAGAAAAAACTGATAGAATCTTTCATTCATTTACATTCCCGTAATTACTAAGGAAGGCTAGTCAGAAATCATTGGAGTGAGAATATGTTCAAAGTTCTTTCAGTTCAAAATATGTAAGGCTTTACGTAAGATAACTCTCTTTACTATAAATCATTTTGTATCATCCATGGAAGTTTCTCAATGACATTTCATGCATTCAGTGTGTGAGCCAGAAAACACCAACTAAGTTACAGTAATAAATAAGACTGTCTTTGCAACAACACCAATCCTAAAGGCCAACCACATTATGTAGGACTTTAAGGATGCATGTACACTTTAATTCAGAGAGTGGTGTGAAGAAGGAAAAAGCCTGACTACAGCTAACACTGGAATCACACCCAGCTCTCCTCAGCTGGAGGTAAAACTATAAGCTCAACAACTTGACAGAAACAGGAATGGGATACAGGAGGAGAAGGCAGGGAACTGACATACCACAGAAAAAGTTTGTCTGTGGGGATAACATTTTTGTTTCCATTTATCCTAAGTTTTCATTCAGAATATTATCTCCCCATTCCTACCACTTTTTTTTTTTTTTTTTTTTTTTTTTTTTTTTCATCAGAGGTTTGTTTCCTTCCTACATCTGTATCACCAAAGACTAGGCTTTTATTTCTGTATGGCACATAGATCTGGTCACCTTTTACATCTCCCATAAAACAGCCTTCTCTCCACACAGAGAGAACATCACATTCCCTAGCTGTATTCAGGGTACAGCAGCAGAAACTTCTACCAGCCCCTCAATATCCTCACTCCAAGCACTATTAATTATCACAGGACTATCTTGGGCAGAATAATTATTCAAATACAACAATTCTGAGGGGAAAAAAAAAGCCACACTAAAAGTTACTGACAGTATGCAGCCACAGAAGCAGCTCAGAGAAATAATACAAAGAGAAGCATCATCAAGAGTGCTGTGCTGAGGACATCACAGGAAATATTTGCATCTCTGAAGAAAATGCAAAGAGGCTAAAGGAATGCTACCTGCAGGACAAATGCCTCTGCTCACTTACTGTCCAATGCTGCAAGAGAATAAAAACAGTAAGGGAGAGATACTGATCTTGTACTCTAGTCCTGCACTCATCAGGGTGAAAGCTAGAAATAAAGCAGGACACAGCCATTCAGACAAAGGAGATTAGAAAAACAGGAACAGGTTAATGACCCCAAGAAGCAGTGAAACATATCTTGATTGTTTAACAATGTAAGCTTTTACACATAAGCATAAAGCTTTCTAATTTCCGCTCTTTTACATCTACATGTATCTACATGTAAACATATATGTATGTTAGAGAGGGAGACTGCAGCATCTTGAGAGAGCACAAGAAATTGGTAAACATTAATATTTTTCCACTGTTAACTTCTATAAGCCTTAGCATGAAACCAAATTCTATAGGCTGTAAATGTCTCCACAAATGTGGCAATCAGGGAAATAAGATTAGCCTAAGTCACACATTCTAAATGACACACCTTGGAGCAAATATGGTTGCCTATGGTATACTGCATCAGCACTTCACAAAATACAATCACAAAGTGTAAGCAAATGCCAAGGATGCAGATGTCTAAAGTACAACTTGATTTCTCAGAATATTAATTATAGCATCCAGCCACAATATTAGCAATAAGCATTTTTTTGAAAGAGAAAATTAGCATAACATATTATCAGAGCACAAGCCTGTAAGCAAAGAATCCTAAACCAAAAAATATTCTGAAGATGGCCTGACAAGGAGACTACAGAGATGAAATCATATTCATTATTTCAGCTGCTTGATCCTGATTGCCCCGTCCACTCTGTTCTCTGATCTGCAGCATATGAACTGGAAAGCCATTGAATGGCAACTGTAAAGCTAATTATGTTTAAAGGTGATGCACATAGTGAAGCAGCAGCAATCACTATTGATGTGAACAGTATAAAAATAGAAGGACACAGATTGCTCAGATATATCAAAATATACTCACACAAAGTAGCTCAAGATTTGGAACCTAATCTACTCTTTAGGTTGTATCATAATTATGAAGAGCAAATACGAAGCAAGAATATATGTGTCCTTTCATTGAAAGACCTAGGCAAAAAAGCTAGATCATCAAAATTCAGAAAAAATATTTCAGATATCATAATCTAACAATGGCTAGTAACCATAGCATATTATCTTTCACAGAAACCATCTATGGGAAGTTTTGGAAGCTGTAATATAAAAAAAATATTGAAATGTATTCACTGACAAAGGATTTTGGAGTCTACATAAACTATGCTATTGGCTAAAACCTCCTATGGCAGAAGTAAAACACGATCATAGAACTGAAAAGGAGAAAATAGTAAGTATGAGTTTCCTAACTGAAACAGTTCAGCATTTTCAAGTTTCACTAGTAAGCTCCCATGTGTTTTACTATATTTGTAAACGAGTCAGGAAGCTGAGAAAGCCATATATGCCCACCACACAAACTAATACAGTGCATAGGAGCTGTGATGATTTATGTGACGTCAATAAGCAAGATGAAAGATTGCATGTGAAATTCAATGAGGTTTTTATATTAAAGCTTACGGGAAGAAGAAAACTACTTCTAACAAGATTCTAACAAGATTGTTCACATTAACCCAAGCACAGAAGCTACTGTGTCCAGACAGAACCACAAAAATGGAAGGATGCAGTTTTTCTTTGGCATTGTGTCTATGCACACATGCAGACATATACACTCATAGGTATATACATGCACACAGTATGTGTACATACACACAGAGAAAATAACAATGTTTAACTGCAATTAACACAAACTACTTCCATCAAAATTCAGCCTTCAAGTCCTGTGGAGGCCCGTCTCTGCTCTAGTCATGAAGGCTGACACCCAAATGCTCTGGAACATTTGGCAATGTCTCCCCTAAGAAAGAACCTGTTTGGGTGGGAGGGCTGCATGCCTGCCACGGACAGTAAACACTGTTCCCAACTGGTTCTCTTCCACTAAATCCAGCAGAGGGCCTGCTCCACCTGAAAAGGATCTGCCCTACCCCTCCATCTGACTGTGGGAGCCACAAACCACAGGGCACAGGGCAACAGTGACTTTGCAGTTCCAAGTACCTAGACAGATGGATAACTTCTTAGTGACAGAGCTGGCCTTTGTGTCACAGTCCCTTGTGTGTTGGCTTAGGAAGTAAAGTGGACATGCTGGAACAAAGACCCAAACAAGAAGCATAACTCAAGCAAAGCAGGGCATGACTTGGGGAAGTACTGTATCGTATGATGAATTTCTCCTAACACATGACCATCAGGGTAGGTTTACCATCCCAGGAGACAATCATTAATAAACAGGACAAACACATACTAAATGCTTGAGACTGGATCACAAGATTGGAGGGGGTCTTCCAGATTCCTAACTGCAATGGAAAAATGTACATATACCTAAAGACTAAGCAGCTTTTATACTATATTCAGCATGGCACTATGTGACTACAGCTTTAATGCACTGCCTCCGCTGAGGTTTTCCGTGTCATCCTTTGGGTTCAATTGCAAATTTACAGCTTCTGCACTGACACATATTTACTTTCTTCTTGTGCCACAAAATGTTTGACTGCAGCACACTGATGAAATTACATCCAGGCATAAACAAGGGAGTAAACAGAAAGCTATGTTAACTTAAGGTGACATCAAGTGCGGAAAGCAGCGTTTGTAAACTAGCTCAAACCGCTATTTCCAAACTTCTCGAAGGCTGCTGTGAACACGTGTGAAGCTGAACAAGACAAGCCTAATCCCAAAGCCGACTCGGTGTTCCGCCGCGGGGTTTGAGGGTCACCGCGCGGCCCGTGACACGGCACCCGTGTCCCCGGACGGGGGAGCGCGGCCCGGACGAGAGGCAGCTGCGGCACGGCCACCCCCGATCGGAGCCGGGCAGGGCGGGCGGCACCGGCCNTGAGTGCTTGCGCTGCCACCGCAGCCGCTCCGTTAGCGGGACCGCGACCCGCGCCGGTTTCTTGTGAGGCGGAGGTCCCCTGGCCCAGTCCCGGCAGGGAAGGAGGAGGCACCGGTGCCTGTCGATCCCTGGGATAGGCGGCGGTCTGTCCTGCGGCAGCCCGGGCCGGACAGGGCCCTCAGTCCGCCGGAGCTCCGCGGAGCAGTTCTGGGCCTCCCGGACTCAGCCGCCGCTGTGGACAGCACCGGGACGGGATTCGCCTAGCCGGTGTCCGCCCGCTGTCTGTGGCCATCCCTTGGTGCCTGGGGAAGAGGCAGCAGCGGCCGGGCACATTTACCCTTCCCCGTTTTTCCCCTGAAAGCGAGGGCATTGGGCCATAAGTGAGACAGCTGTTCCCTGCTGCTGCCTTGGGAGCGCCTTCCCGTCGTCAGGGTAATTTTAGAAGGTGGAAACTCGTAAGTTGAGGTTCAGCGTAGCTGCAGTAGCTCAAGGCATTCCTATCTGTGAAACAGCCGCTTCTCTGTTACAGTGTTAGACTTGCAGTTGGTCTTAATCTATGTACTTGAACATGTCCAAGTTTGTTGTATAATTTTTAAGTGTTTCTTTTACTTGCTATCTTTTTAAACGGCTGATATCTTTTAAAGCAGCTATTTAAACTGCTGTTAGCGGTTATGCCTGTATTTTTTTCGAAATCCTGTACATTAGAGTATTGCTAGTTGAGCTAGACGGCTTTGGGGGTTTATGCTGGGTGGGTGGGCAGTCTGTCTCTTCAGCGTTGCCTCACTGCTGGCTCGCTATGCCATGGTAAGACATCCACTATTTCTGCTGCCGCCTTACCGCTAGAATTCCCGTTGATGGCTGAAGCACAAAGCTCTTGGGACTGCAGCGGCACGGTGGCCTGGGAGCTCAGTGTGGAGGTGTGCAGGCTGCTGCTGCTGCTGGAGGACTCGGACTGCGCAGGGCTCGTGGCCTTGTTCGGCCCGGGGACTGCTCGGGGCAGCCTGGCTGTGTCCTGGGGCCCGGCCGGGTTTAGCCCTGCTCAGTGTGTCTGTGGGGTGCTGCGTTCAAGCTAAACTCTCCAGAACTACAGCTGCTCAGCACATACACGTTCTGCAGTGCAGTTACTGCTAATGCCCTTCTGGCTATCTGCCAGCCCAAGCTGGCTACCTGCTAAAACATCTTACGTGTCTTTTTGTCTGGAGTGTGGTTCTCGACTTGGATGGACTGTGTCACAAGTTCTACTAATTTCTGTACTTGGCAGCCCTTAGAAATTCTGATGGCTTATGATTTCTTAATGTGCTAGTGAGAGCATTCATTTATATGAAAATGCTTAAAATCATCTCCTTAGCAAAGGATTTGAGTTATTCCTGTTGTAAGGCTGTTGGAAGAAGCTTTTGGAATTCTGCAGAGGAAACATTCACTTATTATTCATTTAGGACATAATTAACCTTCTGTATTTGGAGATCTGTAGAACTCTGAAAATTGATTTTAAATATTGAGTATTCTCATGATTTCTGGATATTGGTCATCACATCAAATTTCTTAGCTGATATATCCAAATGTTGTTATAGTTTTGTCACTGATTGCCATTTTAGCAGCTTAAAGCTTATGAGTTGCAGTGCTATTTTTAAAAGTTTTGGGTTTTGTTTTTTCTTACATGTTGTGATTATCACAGAAAATTACCTGGAAAACATTTTGAACATCTGTATTGCCAAGACTGTTTGATAGAGCCTATTGATGGTAATGCCTTTTTAGAATTATTCTGCAATAATGTGGCTTGCATCCATTTAAGGAAGCTGTGGAGCTTTACCACTTCGGTAACATGTAGAAGTCCCCTTCCAGCAATGTAAGAAGATGGAAATCAATTTCCATTAGTATACTGGTTTGCAAATACTCTACTGGCAGAGTTCCTTAGGAAACACAGACTGATTTTTTTAGTCAATATTGAGATGGCATTGTAATGGATATCGCTGCTTGACCACAGTATCAGGTGAGGGTAGGTTAGACTGGCAGTTATTTTGGGAGTTTTGGTGCTGGTTTAACCTACCAAGTTGGTAACAATAGTAACTCTCAATTAGACAAAGCAATCTTGAGGTTGGCTTACACGGGTGCCTTGTTTTAGCTCTTTTGGAGAGTATCTTTTATTATTTATAAACACATTTTAAACGGTGCTTTTTGGGGTTTGTGCAGCTGATAACTCTCAACGTGTGTACACAGTGTGCTGCTTTGTTAGCCATGTTAGAGCCCTCTCTCTTAAATAAAATCAGAATGTAGCTACTAGTGCATTTCTATAAATGGACCGGCTTTCTTCTGTTTTCTTCTCATTTGAGGCAGGGGGAAGTCCCAAAAATCTTTGAAACTCTCATCTGTTTTGATTACAGAGGCTCCCATTATTGATAATTTGGCTTTCAGTTCTGAAAGTAGATCAAATGTGAGATTCTGATTTGGGCTATCAGCAAGGAAGTAGTTTCATCTGAGTGCAAGAAAGCAACACTTAGAGCGGAAGATAAAAAAAGAAGTGTTTGAAGTGCTCCGTTTCAGCAGTAGCTGTGGTGTTGCAAATTTTTGTTTTTCAGACAAGTTTTGTTTTGCCCTTATTCAGAATTTTAGATTGCTGATTCTACCATGTGTTCTCCTGAATACCTAATATAGGGGTATTAGGTCGTGGTTTAGCATGTTGACTAGAATGTGCATCTTTCAGAAACTAAATTTTTGTGTCTTCCTAAGTGTAAGTTATGGTATGTTTAGGCTTATATATGATATTTCTGTTTCTAGTGAACAAAAATACCCTGTTTTACCAATACAGCCATTAAAAATTATAATATGAATTTTGTTTATTAAAATGCAAGTATATTTGTAGGGTTACTGAAATGTGAAATTCAGTTTGATTTAGTGAAAGCTGGATGAAATGCAACTGATAAATAATGTTGAATTTTGCTAGCAAAATATTTTGCTTCTGGTCATACTGTCTTTGCAGGATGCAGAGTTTCTCAGCTATTCTGCTCAATTTTATTCTGTCATGTAGCATATTGCTGATAAGAGGATAGAAAGAAGTTGACACTCTTTCTGGAAGTCTATCTGGACTGTTTTGTTTTTTGTTTTTTTTAACGTGGTGAATTCAATGCACATTTATTTTACACAGTGAAATCCTTCCTAAGTGAAGTGTGGTATCTCTTTTTTTAAGTAGGGCATCAGGATTGCCTAAAATTAGCTTCAGGCCAATATTTCCTAAAAATAACTTTAAAAAGTAAAACTTGTGCACTTTCTGGAATGCAAAGCAGGATTCTTACCCAAAAGTTACTTGAATGATTAATTTCTAAAGGCATAGCTTCAACTAGTTTAAAATGTTATTTTTTAATTTCTTTTCCAGATCTGTCTGAGTTGTACTTGAAGCCGCCAAAATGGTTCTGGCAGATCTTGGAAGAAAAATAACTTCAGCATTGCGCTCACTGAGCAATGCCACGATTATCAATGAAGAGGTATGTAGTGTACAAATGTGATGTCACTAACACTGGAAGAGTTCTGAGAAAAAATTCTCAAAGGCTGATGAGAAGCTTGAAGTGGCCTCCTGAGACACTTTTTTTCTACAAATATAAGTTCTGCAAGAAGTAGAACTCTTAACAGTACTGCCAGAACTTAAAACTAGATTTATATGTGGGTCATCGCCTCAAACATAGTGGGTCCCATGGTCAAAGGGTCCTTGAGCCTGGTGACTGTACTTAGGGAGATGACTGTTCTTTGGAGGCAGTGTGTACCTAAATTTGGATGGAAGGTAGGTGTCTGCTCTGGTTTCCTTGTGTGTGCACAGACAGACTATGGAGATGTGTGCTAGGCTGCTAGAAGCTGAAATGTGGGAGAACAAATGTAAGCTTTGCTGTCTGAAATGTGAGGAATGTGTTGCATTTGCTGCCTTTATATTCAAGCCATTGTGTGGTTCTGGAAGTTTGTTTGGCTTAGTATGGTCTGTATTTTCTCTAATTAACTCTAATGAAGAGTTTGAAATTAGAACTTGATGTGTTCTGTCATAGGAGTTCAATATAAGATGGGAAACTAACTAATGTGATGGTTTCAAAGTTTCTCTGAGTACACAGTGCTAGAAACTCTTTTCAGGTGGAAAGATGGATGTGTTAAAGTAAAAAAATAGGCTCATTGAGACTGTAGGGTTAGAACTTATGCATAGAGAAAATGTTTTAGTATCTTCTGCTGGGAGACAAAAAATCCTTAACTGAATCAAATACAACCCAATCAAATTTTTTTAGCGAGCAGCAGTCAAATTTCTGAAAATGTAGGTAGTAGGGTGTCCATTTTTAGCTAAGGATTACTGTTACTTACAGAAATGGTAGTGTGATCTGTGATTTTTTTGGTGTACTCTCTAAGGAATACCCAGAGGAGAGTTCGGGAAGTCTTGCTGCCATATGAGCTGTTGGCCATAATGCAGTAGGAAGTCTTTTCTGCTGGTGTTATAGAGTGTGCAGTTGTTACAATTGAAAACCCTTCCCTTTTAAATTGTATTTATGTAGGAACAAATGCACATGGGTTTTTTTTGTGACAGTTGATGTAATGATAGGATTGCATGCATTTAATTTGTGAAAGCCATGGTTATATCATAAATTACTTCCACATTCTTATTTTGACCTAATAGTGGCCTAGTTACTCTCTGTGTATTGTAACACAATTTTTTTTCTGATTTTTCTTTTATACTCCAAAGGTTTTAAATGCTATGTTAAAAGAAGTATGTACAGCATTACTGGAAGCTGATGTTAATATCAAACTTGTGAAGCAACTCAGAGAAAATGTCAAGTAAGTGAAATAATCAAAATGCATTTAACTTATTAGTAAAAGTTGTAATTTGAAGTTGAAAAGGCATAACTAGTTTATAACTTAATACGTTGGGGTATTTTTAGACACACCCAGTTTACTTTTAGCAGGAAAACAACTGTTTGAACTAAATGTTTAGCCAATTCCATCAAAAGAGTCTTTGGTCAAATTTAGCCATTTATTGCTGTTACAGACTTGTTTCAAAAATCTGTTGCTGTCATCCATTGGGTTGTCTGATAGACAAGTTCTTAATTACTTCATGGACACATCATCTTCACATGTTCTGTGCTGGCTATAAATAGATCTGTGTATGTGACTAGCACTGTTACCTTGCCTATTTTCAGGTGTAATTTAAGTAAATGCAAGTCTGAAAGATGCATTTTAGAAAACTGTTTTTGTCATCTGCATAAGAATGTCTCCAGTGCATGTCACTTCTCAAGTAAATCCTATATGAAAGCTCAGAACAAATCAGGGTGCTGTTGCAGTTGCAAAAACTTAGTGTTTCATCTTTTTCTTAAACTCAGGTCAGCAATTGATCTTGAAGAAATGGCA